GCCGAGGTCGTGCAGATCGATGCCGCCCATGCACGTGAGCGCCCCGTTGGATGCCGAGGCGGTGGAGGAGGAGGAGGCCGCGGGGACGAGCCGGTCATGCCCCTTGCTGCCCACGCCGAGCCCCGTGGAGGCGCTGCCCGTGGCGGGAATGGGACGAGGAGCTGCTGGGAGGCGGTTCTTCCAGTCCCACTGGCCCGAACAGGCCGTGGAGGAGGCGATCAAGGTTAGCCGCTGATGCCGCCTTGGTGGCTTGCAACTTTGCGGTAGAAATTTCGTGCGAGCTGGTCCATTGACTTTGCTGTTGCGTCCGTCGTGCAGGGAGGGAATGCCTTCGTGGGGAAGTTCCGTGTGAATGCACACAACCGAAATGAGGCAAGTATTGCTTGCTTCGTAGTTTTGATTGCTTGTTGTACTGTTTCCATGCAATTGTGTGGTAATGTTGTTTATGTGATTTTTGTAGGCGTACTGTACGATTGAGGGTATACCAGTGGATGTTCTCATTACTGGGGTGGCGCAAAACCGAGCGGTAAGTTCTGGTTGACATGCATTTGTGCTACCTGAATGTATGTGTTATAATGTTGTCTAACTGTGTAGTAATTAGTAGTGACTCTTTTAGAGAACACTAGTGGATATTGGAAATGCAGGGTGCTACTCTTAGTCTATCATGTATGTAGCGTTGAATTTCATGTTAAGGTCACACACACGTCTCGCTAACTGGTTACATATATGAGGAATTGGAATACACTAACTCCACGTTTATAGATACCTCATGAGTAATCAGGAAATGCAATGTTTGTCATATTTGGTATCATATGAGCCTCAGGGAAAGTCATGTGCAACACTATTGCACCTTTCCTTCCCATGATCTAACAACGCCACTTTTTTTTAAGTTTCTGTCATGTCACTGGATTGGGCACCTCTATTTTTGTCGTTAGTTTGAGACCGTGTGCAAAAAATCTCTGACTTGTCTTCTCGTGGCCATCCTTTCTTCTGGTACACTTTAACTTTTGGAACCCCTAACTTTTATTATGTTGTATGCATTCATCTTACCTGTGATAATCCTACAACAGCATTCAACATGATACCTTATTTATAGAAGCAATTCATTCAGGAGAAATGTTTAGGTGATAGATTCCTAGTAAAACTTTTTTGTCTTGTCTTGCCATGTTACCATATAGTTTATTAGAAATGACCATATAGTTCGTTAGAAATGGATTCGTTGTTCTGCTCATTTTCATTGCATATACCATTCCTGTATCCATAGTGAATGTTTTTTAAATTATTTTTTTTGATACAATGTTGTACGAACCACTTTGCAGATTGAAGGTGATCTTGTTGCTATGACACTTGAACCTGTTGCTTACTGGACTAGAATGAAAGGACCAAACATTACGTGCAACCCTGCTATAGGAGAGGGTTCTGCTGTTCGTGAAGTTGGTGAAACAAATGGGAATCATGATGGGAAGAAAGGTCAGACAGATGCCAACTGCAGGTTTGGAAATTGCAGCAATGGCCAACCTGTTTCGGACAGGACGCATTACCGTCACAAGAACAGTGGTTTTAGTAAAGCTGTTACGTGTGAAAATGGTCATGCTACTGTCCCAGAAAATTGTGGAAAGGACTTAGGTGAAGGAAAATCTGAGGCTTCTAGAGCATTGCATAGGATCTGTTCTATGGTATACTCTAACCCAAGCAGACGTCCCACTGGAAAGGTATTAGCTATTATTAAGAAGTCTCCTCGCCGTGACACTGTTGTAGGTTTTCTTGCTCCTTTCGCAGTGTGTCCTGATCCAGAGCAGCAGAAAAATCAGATGAGTATGCTTTCAAAGAGGATGAACCATAGAGCATCATCCTATTTTTCAGGACTGATTCTTCTCTTGCCAACTGATTCCAAATTCCCTCATATGGTTGTTAATGTTAGTACTTTGCCAGATAGTGTCAGAAACCATTTGGAAGAAGGTGATGCAGCTAAAGAATTAGTCGCTGCACGAATTTCTGATTGGAATGAGGAAAGTCTCTATCCCTGTGCTCATGTCATACAGTTGTTGGGGAAGGGTGGACAAGTCAAAACACACATGGATGCTATACTTTTTGAAAATGCAATATCTGATGCTGAATTCTCTCCTGAGTCCATGGAATGCCTTCCTGATATTTGCTGGAAAATTCCTCAGGAAGAACTTGAAGTAAGAAAAGATTTGAGAAATGTCTTGACCTTTACAATAGACCCCCCTACTGCAACTGATCTTGATGATGCCATATCTATTGAGATGCTTTCAGGGGGAATTGTGCGTATTGGGGTGCATATTGCAGATGTTTCTTACTTTGTTCATCCTGAGACTGCACTGGATGCTGAAGCTCAGATCCGATCTACTAGTGTTTACACCTTACGACGCAAAATATCAATGTTGCCTTTGAGACTTTCAGAAGATCTGGTCTCCCTTAATCCTGGGGTAGACAGGCTTACCTTTTCGATCATTTGGGACATAGATCCTCATGGGAACATAATTAATCGTTGGATTGGACGTACTGTTATTTCTTCATGCTGCAAGCTGTCATATGATCTTGTGCAGGATTTGATTTGTAGCGATGGAACTAAGTTTAAATCTGCTTCTTCTCTTCAAGTACATGGCATATTTGAACAAGATGATGTTATCAAGTCCCTTAGGTGCTTATATGAGATCTCAAAGAATCTGAAGGAGATTAGATTTAAGGGTGGAGCTTTGTCCCTTGAAACTGCAAAGCTTATGATCCAATTTGATGAAGGTGGAGCTCCATGCGATAGCTTTCGCTATGAGAGGAATGATGCTTGTTTTATTGTTGAGGAGTTAATGTTGCTAGCAAATATGTCAGCTGCAGAAGTTATATCCAATGCATTCCCAAATTGTGCGTTACTTCGTAGGCACCCTGAACCGAATTTACGGAAGTCCAGAGAGTTTGAGGCATTTTGTGCTAGGAATGGTTTTGAATTGGATGGTTCATCATCTGGTCAACTTCACCTTTCACTTTCTAGAATGAAGGAAAAGTTAAAGGATGATCCTGTTTTGTTTGATATTCTCATGTTTTATGCTTCAAAGCAAATGCAGTCAGCAGAATACTTTTGCACAGCAGACCTGATAAGCAAGAGGGATGATTGGGCTCACTATGCGTTATCTGTCCCTCTATATACACATTTCACATCACCACTTCGAAGATATCCTGATATAATTGTTCACAGAACACTGAATGCAGTAATTGAGGCTGAAAAGATGTATCTGAAACACAGGAGATCTCTCACAGGCCAAAACGGATTCAACACCGCATCTTGTGAGATGATGCACGGATGCTTTACAGGTCTCCAATTTAGTAAGGATGCTGCTGAATCCAAAGAAGGGAGTGAAGCATTATCTGCTGCTGCTAAGAAGTTTAAAGTCCCTTCCCCTGATAATCTTGGAGAGGTTGCTGAACACTGCAACGAAAGAAAGTGGGCCAGTCGTCGTGCAGAAGATGCTGGTCAGAAGCTCTACATGTGGGCCTTGATAAAGAGGAAAGAGGTACCGTGGTATCATTTTTTTGGCTTCTGCAACTGATTTTATCTAAGCTTTATTTTGAAAGGCTTATGGTTTTACTTTTGCAGGTCCTGGTTGCCAATGCTAGAGTTCTGGGGCTTGGACCAAAGTTCATGTCAGTTTATGTGCCCAAACTAGCGGTATATATATGCCTAACCTCATGGAAGCACTTGTTTTTGTTGTTTTCTTCTTAGCCTTGATGTGATCAATCTTTTTTGTGTAGATGGAACGGAGGATACATTATGACGAAGTTGAGGGCCTATCTATTGAGTGGTTGGAAGCCACTGGAACATTGGTGCTTGATTCATGCAGGAACAGGCCTCCTCAAAGGAGGGGAAATCAGGTGAAGTATAGAGCATTTGAGGAAGTCGCCATGATGGTTAACCCATCTGAATCAATATTCTCCGAAGAAGATGAGGAATCTGGAGCAACAGAAGCTGGTTGTGACACTGCCAAGTCAGTTTTGCTGAGTGATGAAGCAGTGAAAGCGCAAGTTGCCCCGGCCGTCCTGCCTCTGGTGATACAATACTTGAGCGAAATTCCTGTGGTTCTTCATGCGATTGGTGGTGAGGACTCTGCGTTGGACATTGGAGTAAGACTATACATGTCATCATATTTCAAGTGATAGGAAATAAGCATTAAGACAGAAATCTATTTTCTTTGGTGAACAACAGTAATAAAAAAATGACAGAAGAGTAGCATTTAAAAGTTCCTTTCAGGGTTCAGCAAGCAAATATCAACTAGTGTTGCAGATGCTCCATTCCTGTGTAGCTTCTTTCTCCGTTATCATATTTACCTCCATTTGACATCCAAGGTTCTCGCGGTCAAGTAGCCTTCCTTTTTTACTTCAGGCCACTTGACCAAGTCCCAGATTCAGCTTTGACAGAAGACTCTGTATCGGTGATGTATTCATTAGTTGCTCCTTAGATGCTTTTGTTCTTGTGTTGAGCCACCTGCAGTTTTTTATACTGGTGAACTCTTACACATGTTTGTCATCTTGCTTTGTTACTTTGGAAAAGAATAAAAATACTGAAGCTTTATTGAATATTTCAATAACATATTCAAGCTCTTTAAATTCCATCTGTTCCTTCAAAACCTGAGCTTGACTTGAGAAGCGAAATACGATGGTGCCCTCTCGTATGTCTGATCGAGTGATCGTATTATAAAACGCAGCCACAGTTATACTTTTGCACGCGTCAGTTATCCTTTTGCACGCGTCATGTGATTCGAATAACTCTGATAAAAGGGGATAAATATGTCATTTACGTTTTCCGTATGTAATGTAATCGTCTTCAGTTGGTTTATCTATAAACAGTGGTTAATGGTAGCTAGCACTAACAGTTATCGCTGCGCCTCAGCTGCTTTAAAATGATTCGCTAGAAGCCTAGAACGGTCACACGATTTGCGAGTTCTAGTGATGTTTTGCATGCAATTTCTTGTAGAGGCATGGGGAGATTGCAGGTCATTTATCTCCTGATTCGCCAGTAATATTGTTCTCATATAATGACAAGCTGACAACACTGAAACAAATAACCAGCGCGTCCATGTTTCGCTAACAGTAGCAAGAAAATTACAAATATGTACAGCTCTGAGCAAGCTCGCATGAGAAACGCAAGTTTCCATCACTCCTACAATCCTACACGATCCTGTGCACTAAAATTCTCTCAAGTCTACGAAAAACTGTACAGATGCATCATTCGCAGATTCAGCACAATTCAAGCCTTCAAGGACCACCAAATCACCACCGGCAAATTCCTGGTTTCTCAGTACGGCAGAGGGCGAGCGTCTCATCGTACTTGGAAGGATAGACGAAACCCCACAGCTGCATTGCAAAGAAAACAGCAGTTACATATCTGCATCCCAGATGAACATGATAGCATTCAGCCAGAAGCCCACAATTAGATACCTCGACATCTTTTACCGCGAAGTCTGGGGAATGAGATAAACACATGTTGTTAAAAGTCTCTGAATTGGAACTTGAACCACTCAACCTGAAAAAGGGTAACCCAGAAGAAAAGATGAGAGCTATCAATGACAAAAGGCAATAAAACCAGCAGATTTGACGGCGTGAAAGACATGCTTAAGAGGTGGGAGATTACAGGTCGGCATCTAGATAAAGTGCGAAATGACCTCCACCTCCTAATGCCAAATAGTCGGTGGAGCACACTGTGAAATAGTTATTAGCACCTGCAATACCAGAAATGAATGCTCAGGGGCTCTCCTGAGTTAAGTCTTTGCTAGTGTTAACAGTAATATATTCAGCAACTTGATCCCCCAGAATTTTTGTAGGAGTATGCTAGTGTTATATATATTGAACAGGAATCAGGGGACAAAAACAATCATAAGTCACTGCTACACAGAGAAATACATCTAGTAGTCTGGAAGGTAGGGTCAAATGGAACAAAATTATTTCGCAGCTTTTGATGTTCTTATGCAAAGAACATGAAAACAGGAGGTGAAATATTACCAGTCGGTCGATATATACTAGGATTGCTGTGTAAATTAGTGAAAACAAAGCAGCTATTGCTCCCCTGCAATATTAAGATTCCATCATAATCTGCATAAGGTAATTAAACCAGAAAAAAAGGGTATCAGAAATTCAGAATGTGTAGGTGGAACCTGATATTTCTTTGCACTGGTTGGCTGCAATGGAGCCTCAACTAAACCGCCAAAAACTGCACCTTCTTTATCCCCAACTACCTGTTAGGGAAAATATTATTATTATTACTAAACAAAAAAAAAAAGAAGTTTTGTAAAAACTGAACTAACATGAGCTAAAATTATGGAGACCGATATTTAAACCATAGAATTTTATTGGAATAAAGTGCTATCACAGTATCACCCACGTAAGAATATTTGGAACTTCAATATGTATATTGGCACACTGGCTGCTGGCCTTGGAGTACCAGTTAAACTATAAAAATCAAACAGCTTCAAGCTACAGAAGAAGAATACCAAGAGAGAGTAACCAGGGCAAAGCATGCTCCTTCTGTATAGAGTAGACAAAGATATTCCATGCCTCCATGTGCTGCACAATTGTGAACGCAAACATTAGACTTTAGCTAATGCATATAGTCATACCATATTAAATAACAGACATGTTTTAAACCTGTATAGCAAGACCCAGTTCATTCCTTTGGCAAGAACAGGAAAAGATGCATAAATATTGAACCTCATCACTTCTGACAAAAGAACAGATGGTTCTGACATAGCTGGCAAATTAATGAAGGAAGCAACTTCCTTTGATTCTTCAAGCTCCAATACAGGTGAAACTGATTCAACATGATCTACCACCTCTCTATCAATCTTAGGCTCCACATTTTGTTTGAAACCACCAATTCTAGCCGCTTTGCTAATGATTTTTCCAATGGAATGTTTTCCTCTACTTAGGAGCCCAGACTTTCCCTTTTTTGACTTCCCCATTGGTGTTAAAGTTGGGTATCCCAATTCCCCATTCTGATCAGGAATTATCTCCATGGAACCATTACTAGAACCAGATGATGACAGGAATGAGATCAAGAATGCTCTAAAGGAAGATGTGTCAGGGCCATCGGGGGTGTCAGAATTTTGCTCAGAATCTTTGTCATCCTCTGATTTTTCTTCGTCTTTGTCCACCTCCTACAACGATCAAAGAACTTGAGATGTGAGCTTACTGGAAAACAAGATGGTGAGTGAAACACGGGTCAGTGATTAGCGGCAATTCATAGCTACAAACTGGCATCAAAGATCAAACACATGCAGTAACAATTTATTTCAAACAATCAACAATGCAAACCATCTTTAAACTATAACAGAATGCAAAGGGATACATCAACAAAGACAACAGATAAACAGCTGGGGTAGGCTTTCAAAAGCGCACTGAGATGGAACAGAACTATTTCCCCTCTCGAGACTAGCAGAAGCTGACAATACGAAGAACAACTTTCAGGTAGCAAGTAGAAACATACAGGTGAGCTAACTTTACTATTGCAGCTACCTCAACTTCTCAAGTCCTCAATCATGTCAAAAAGAACACAAATATCCCCACCCGACGAAGTCCACTATCTATCAGCATTCTCCAATTCCGTTGCCACTCATCCAGATCGCGGCAAACCCCCACAGAAAACTAAACAAAGACAGGCAGAGAATTCAGCAACCTACACAAAAACCCTAGCAACGGGATGATCCCTGCGGCGAAATCACTCCAAAAAGTCCAAACCACGCTGATATCTCTACCGGCAGCATCCGACTCAGCCCGATCGCGCAAATCTAGGACGCGAGCCGCAAACCGATCACAATTCAAAACCAGATATAAACTGCCCGCACTACGAGGAACGGTAGAGAGGAGAGATGGAGAGAGAGAGAGAGATCTCGGGTCTCACGGGGAGTGGGGAGGAAGGCTCGCGCTCGGAGATTGGGTTGAGGATGACGGTGGTGAGGTCGGACACGAAGTGCGCCGCCTTGCTGCCCAGCGACGACGGCAGGTACCCCATCCTCCTCGCCACCCACCCCGCCTATTTCTGGAGGGGAGCGCCCCTCCGCGTCCCGCGCGGCCGCTAAGTTTAGGAGGCGACGAGCGCGCGCGCGCGCGAGGGAGGGGGACGCGAGTCAAGGCGAGCTCGTCCGACTCCCGAAAGCTTCCGGGTTGGGGATTCCTCTGCCGGGGGAGACGAGACGACGGAGGCGGTGGTTGCAGGCAGGAGGAGGCGAGGATTTGGGCCTTTTCCTCCCCACGCTTCGCTTCTCCTGCCGTTCGGTGGCGAACACAACTGCCAAGTCAAGATTGGATTATCTAGCCCGGTCACTTGCACACTTGCAAGATTTGTTTCCTTTCCTCTAATTGGCGGTTAGTGCACAGGCGGCCTCGGTTCGGCGACAGGGTTTATCTCCAACGACCGCGGTAACCATTGCGGTTATCGTGATGAACCGTGAAAAAACTGGAGAGAGTTTACATTTAAGTTTCTTTGAACTTGGTAGAATTATCCGGCACTTATCGTTTCCGCACACGTGATAAGCCTAATTACCATGGTAACCGTCAATAAGAGAAACCGTGTAAATCTGCGACCAAGGGGTAACCGTCAATAGAGGAAATTTTTGGACGGTACAATGGGGCATCTGACAAGTCACAGGTAAATGCTGAAGACAACAAAAAAAAAACACTGTAGTTTCTATTTAGAATCACATCTCTGAACAGCAAAGCGTTGCTATCACATTACATTTCATCTAGTAAGTCTGTACTCTTTAGTGATTACTGTATATACATGCGTACCGGAACCGAGAGGGAAAAAAAATTGCCGGACCTAGAATGCTCAATCGATCAGACATGTGCAGTAAAAAAAACCACATCGCATCAGCAGCCACTCCTACGTGTTTTTCACGGTGCAGTACAATTCAGGGACCAATGCCGAGCGCCGAATCAGGTGGAGATTTATGGTGGAGCGGTTTCTGGAGAAGCAGCTGTGCCACTGAGCGATCCATAGGGTTCATCATCTGAATTTCTCTCCACCTGTTTGATTTGAACATGTCAGAAAATTACACTTCACAAAAACTCAGCTGTCGATCACTTCAAGTGTCCTAAACATAATTGAAGATCACATTAAACCGTTGTACCTCTTTGAAGCTGATGATTCCATAACTCCAAGTTGGTTAACGGTCTCTGTTGTACTAGCAATGCGATGCCTATGCTCAACACAATTGGCCAATCGATACAAGGCATCTCTTATGCGAGCTTTGGATGCCACGTCCAACTGCAAAGTACATTGGAAGGATACAAGAGCTGAATACTTATCATGGACAATCTGAAATATTATCAACCTGAATAATAGCTAATTGCATTCACAAATTCCTGAAGAATGCAACATAGCTAGAAGGGTTGCAAGAGGGTGTTCTAAGTTACTGATACTATTAGTATACCTGATTCATGCCTTCCTGAAGCTTATGGAAGCCAAGATCCTTAACTGGCACAGCTTCTAGAATCAGTGGTGAGCAAGGGTTCACACATAAGTCTGCTGAAGTCTTTCCCTTCGAGAGGAACTGTAAGTCTGCACTTTTCAGAACATCGTCACCTGCAAATCCTTCAGGAAACTGGTGTGTTTGTGTCAAAGTAACGTTATTCAGATGTTCTGGGTGTTCATATGCAGTCAATGATGGAGGGAAATACATCTCTAGTGGATTTCCAGCCATTTCGTCGAGGATCATGTCTGGAGTTCCATTCAGTGGATCATGAGATCTCTTCATCGAACGCGGAACGTAGGTTGCAACGAGATCCGGTGCTGAGAAAGTCGATGAAGATACAATTTCATCATCACACATGATGCTTGATGTTGTTGGGGCTAGCATTTCCTGATTTGTGCAAAAGATAGCCTCTAGTCCCTCACAGCCACTTATGCGTTCCGAGCTTGTTACATTGTCAAATGGGTAGAAAACATCAACATCTGAATGTTGTGAAAATCGCTCGATTTCCCCGGAAGAACAGGCAAGTGCTTCATGATTCAAAGTTGCCGAACTTCTTCCTTTGCTGGGTGGTTGTTGTATGTTGATAGGATTTGCCATATTATTCTGCAGAGATAAATTGAAGAGAAATGTTAAAATGTTCCTATATGGAACCAAGATTATTTTGAGGAAACATATGATCTGGAGATTTGTTGCATATTGAAGAGGCCAGAGATCTTGACTCTCGGAATGACAAGAGAAGCTACCCTGGGGAAGAAACCCTCGGCATCATCTAACCTATAAAATTAGGGGGAAATCAATTAGAAAGATCAAAAGTTTGGAAGTACCTGATCAAGGAACAATGGTTCAGCACTAGTAGTATCGGAAACTGAAACTGATGATAATATAGACTTTGTTGTGCTCTCATTCGAAACAGTTGACAAATTGGTATTGTCCAAGAGACAGCTGCTTGGTACTAGCTGGGCATCTGGTAAGCAAACTGAAGACCACAGTGGATCTTCAAAGTGATTACTTCCTATCTCAAACGTGGACTCGAAACTTCTTCAGAAAAAAATGAAAGAAAAATGTTCAAGATTCACATAAAGGACTCAGCTTCTGATGGATAAAGATAGATGCTGGAGGCAGCAAGAGATTACCTCAGATCTGCTTCGAGGTCATCCAAGTTGAGCAGTTCAGACCAATCACAGTATAACAAATCTTTCCCTTTGTTCCTGTGCTCATCCTGCATAGTATTGCCTTCTGACGAAGGAACGTCTGAAACATTGCTAACACTGACATATTCATCAGCATCAAAAATGCTTGGTTTTGTACCTGAATGAATGCATTTCATAGACATGGTCTTAGACTAGAACTATCCATCATAAAAGCTCCATTATCAAAAAGGAAAGATACAAGCAAGATTGCGTACTTTTTGGAACAGTGACATCTTTCTTGTAAGTTGGTGGATAAGTGCTTCTTTTACCGCAGGATTCATTGATGGATCTCCCGTCACAATATCCAATATTGTTTCTGATGCCACCGCCCTGTGTAGGTCCTGACCTTGTCAAATAACCAGCTGGGCTGATCCTTGACTTGTCATGGCCTTGAAGCAGCACGGTGTGGTCATTCATCAGAGCAAAGTCATTCATAACAACGTGGGTGACCTGAGAAAAAAATCGCTTCATCTTTAGTAGTCCAGAAAAGCTACTAGAACATTACAGTTCAACAGTAAGAAATTTATAGCAGTACCAATCTTTCTGTACTAGTAGTATGATATTTTTTCTCTGTACTGTTAAACGGTTAGTTATTATTTCTTCAATTTTTCCTGATGACTCTCATCTAGTTCGCAGATCAGATGTAGTAGATCAAAATGAAAGTCAGCAGCATCAACTCCAGTCCATACCAACTACTGTACTGAACTATACAGAGTACATACGACTCCGTTTCCGTACATGAACTTCAAGCATAATTGTTCTCAAAAAAAAAAAAAGAACTTCAAGCATAACAAGTTAACAACCAAACAATAACCATAAGTTCTTTCTTGGAGGGCCAATACCCATATTAATTTTGAGCAAGATCACAACAAAAATACAAGATACTACATCGATTCTACTGATCAAACAAGCTGGAGAAACAAAGCAGTATATATGCATCATGCAACGAGAAAGCTGAAGAACACTTACCTCGTCGCAAGGATCAAACCCCCATCTCCTCCCCACGGACGCATGCATTATTGATCCAGCCAAACAAACAAGACAGCAGCTCAACCAAGGATCGGAGCGCAGAGATGGCAAGGGAGAAGACGAAGAAGAAGAAGAAAAAAAAGCACTGTGCACGGCAATTCGGCAAGGAGCAGGAGGGGTAGCTAGCGCTAGTGGCCATTTATATCATCGTCGCCCCCCGCTGCGGCGCGCGCCTAACCTCCAGATCGGGCAAGCTTTAGCCTAGCCATAGACCAGTCTCGGCTTCTAGCGTTGCGGTGCTTAGGCTACGACGCGACGAGACGAGGCAGCAGCAGCTAGCATCGGCGCCGAACCGTGTGTTGGGTGAAAGGGAGTTAGGCGCTGGGCCAAGTGCGCGCCAGAACGCTTGTCCCGGAGGAGGGATATGCTTTGGGTTGGGGATGGGGATCGAGTCACCCAACCAACAAGACTCTTCGCGCCGGAAGAGCAGCGGTGGCCGACCCGCGCCGCGACGTGACGCCGCGGAGGGCGCCAGAAACGGGCCGCGCGACAGCGACGTCGCGCTCGCCTCCGCGCGCGGCTCGGATACGTCACGTCTCGGTCGTCACGTTTCAAAGGTTCCGCGACCGCGCCTGCCCATAAGCGGAACTGGTTCTCCGCTCTCGCGCCTTTCGTGACAATGGCAAAGTGGCGGTGGGAGATAGACGCGCTCGGACGGACGGATAATCGAGCGATTCGGCTCGGCCCGGGCGGGCTTTTTTTTTTTTTTCTGGCGTGGTAATGAAATTTCACGTGACAAATCACGATCGATGTGCAACGGTACAGGATAGCGGGCGTGACACTATCACACTAGCCTGGATTTGACACATGGAAAGCTGGAGTAGCTTGTTACTGTAACTCGTCAGGGACGTCGGAGAAGATCTCTGCTGAGGCCAGATCCCAAAAATTTTTTTTAAAAAAATCACATTAAATATTTGAACACATGCGTGGACATTAAGTATGAAAAGAAAAATTCAATTGTACAGTTTGCATGTAAATTGCGAGATGAATTTTTTTAGCATAATTACGTCATGATTTGACAATGTGATACTACAGTAAAACACTTAGTAGTGATAGATTAGTTAGGCTTAATAAATTTGTCCAGTTTACAGACGGAGTCTGTAATTTGTTTCATTATTAGTCTACATTTAATACTTTAAATGTTTTCGTATACTTTAAAAACTTTACACCAAAAGAAATAAACACACCCTGAATTTATTAGTGCAAGAGTGTTCGATTTGTGTGTCTGTGTGCGCACCGTACCGTGGACGATGCTGTTTTACCACAGGTAGGAATTCTTCAAGCTTTTGTTGTCCGGGTTTTATACAGACTCAATACTCCTCTGTCAAATTTATTTGACTTCGGGTTCGGAGTACTTCGGGTACATATTTGCAAACGAAAATAATTTATGAATAAAAATTTTATATATGTATTCTTATAACTATCTAAAAGCAAATGCTAAAAATAAATTTTGATGAAGAAAACTTAAAATTAATTTTAAATCTAAGATTGAAAATTTAAATTTTAACTAATAAACATAACATAAGTATAAGTGAAAAAAGATTGGGGTGGGGAATTGTTCTGTGTTCATCTCATTCCAGTTCAATCCTCATCGAAACCTTAGGCAAAGCGATGACGCAGGAACGGTGACGTACGTTCCAAATCATCATCGCGTCTTTATGTTCGTTCTGAACTCTGAAAGCTGGCCGTCCAGAAAAAAATAAGGCCCGCTTTGATTCGGAGGAAATTCATAGAAATTTTAGAGGATTTTATTTTTATAGGAATTTTTTCTACAAAGCCCTTTGAATCAAAGGAATGAACGCTATGGAATTCTATGAAATTACTATGGAATGCCTCTTCCCATACAAGTTTTGGAGGAATTTTAACAAGAGGTAGAACCTCATGGAAGAAATCCTTTGAGTCTTTATCTCTCCTCAAATTCATGTGTTTTTATTGTGGTCCAATCAAACGGTCATTCCTATATTTTTCCTGTGTTTTGCAATGCTCTGTTTTACACTTATTCCTCCGTTTTTCTATTTCCGTGATTCAAAGGGGTCCAAAAAAAACAACTACAGGAAAACAACGGTCTCTGCACGCATTTAATGTTTCTCTCGATGGCCATGCATTCATCGCCCTACCGGCACTACTGCGCCTGTTTATCCCCCCGCTAAAATTTAGCCCTGTTACTTTGAAATATTTGGTCACATATATAAAGTATTAAATATAAATAAAAAAAACAACTAATTACACAGATTGCGTGTAAATTGCGAGACGAATCTTTCAAGCATAATTACGTCATGATTTGACAATGTGGTGCTACAGTAAATATTTGCTAATGACGAATTAATTAGACTTAATAAATTCGTCTCGCGGTTTACATGCGGATTTTGTAATTGTATTATTATTAAACTATGTTTAATACTTTTAATGTGTGTCCGTATATCCGATGTGACACGCCAAAACTTTACACCACTGTACCTAAATATAGCCATATCTCGAGAGAAACTTTGGAGGTCAATTGGCTACGTGGCTGTGCCCAATAAGTGCCTAACTGTGCAGTCACTGTTGCACTAGTCAGAATTGTGTATGGTATCCATTAGTTAGAGTTGTTCTAAATTAAGGCCGAGTTTAGTTTCAAATTATTTCTTTAAATTTCTAACTTTTTCATCACATTAAAATTTTCCTATACACACAAACTTCTAATTTTTCTATCACATCGTTCCAATTTCAACCAAACTTTCTAATTTTTGTGTGAACTAAGCACACCCTAGGAAGGGAACGATGGGCTAGAAAGTTCAAACATCAGACAGCCTAAACAGCAAAACGTTTTCCGACTTTCTGTGGTGGCCATCCATTGACGGCCGGGCAGGGCAGGCAATAGTTTTGGTGAAGATGTGAAGCTGCTAAGGATGTTAGGATTGTTGCGTCCTTGCGTGCACATTGCTTTAATTCCTAGTAAGAACGGTTACGCGTGTAACCCTGTATGATCCGTCAATAGTAAGTTAGGAGCGCTAAGCAACGGCGTATAAGTATAACCATCGGCCTAAACAAGCTAGTGTCCCAATCACATTGTTACAACCAGCCCTAATACAGCATGATTTAATTTAATCTCCGTGCTGCCACCCCCAATCCAAGTATTCTATCGCCACCACCAAATGCACTATGAAAAGCGCACACATGGTTGTTCTTGGAATAGGGATGAAAACGGATCGGATACGGTTGGAAACTAACTTTATCATATTCATTATCATATTTTTTTTCTCGGAATCGAAATCGGAATCGGAAACCCGGATACGAAAACGGAATCGAATATTATCAAATACAGATACGGAGCGAATACGAATCGAAACGAATACGGTAACGAATATTAATCGGAACATAAAAGCCCCTTAAACTGACCTTCACAAATCAACGAAGAAATATAACTTCTTGTTTTTTTCTAATATAGCATGTTATATTTGTAAAGATCAACAATTAATAATACCATAACGAGAAACATCCACAAACTTGCACATCCCGACAAAGTCACACTGTCACACGTATTACCGGTTACAAACTTGCAAATGATGACAGTCACACGCATTAACGCCTTGGACGGTCTTAACCACCACCTAATCCACTTAAGGTAGCTAAATTATTCGTCATCAAGACCTTCCTATTGATGCCATCACCGCGTCCAGTTGCCCAACATGTGGCGTCTCAGGCACGGACACGTACTGAAGTCTCGGGTCCCACCTTGCCAACCTCTCCCCCGTGATCGTGTCTTTCCATACCCTGCGCGACGCGACGCGACGCTGTCGCCACCGTCACCGACCGCGCGCGCACGCACGCACACTCCGTGTCCAAACTTTCCTCGAACTCCTCCCCGCCGCATAAATCCCCTTCGCCTCCCCGCCGCGCCCCGCGGCGTCGCACGATCTCACTGAGGCATAAAGTGAGAGACCGTGATTGGATCGATCACCGGAGCGACGATCAATGGCGACGCTCACCGTGCCCGCCGCCGTGCCGCCCGTCGCCGAGGACTGCGAGCAGCTGCGCAAGGCGTTCAAAGGTCAGGCGCGCGCTCCGCCGTCCTCGCCTTAATCCTCCGCCGGCCGGCGCGAGGCCGGACCGGGTGCTGACGCGATCTGCTTTACTGGTGGTCCCGCAGGGTGGGGCACGAACGAGAAGCTCATCATCTCCATCCTCGCCCACCGCGACGCGGCGCAGCGCCGGGCGATCCGCCGCGCCTACGCCGAGGCGTACGGCGAGGAGCTGCTCCGCGCCCTCAACGACGAGATCCACGGCAAATTCGAGGTCCCCGATCTAGCTTGTGCGGATTAATCGGCTCCCCCCTTTAGCTCCGTCGCTATCTGTCTGATTTGATTCGTGTGGGGGTTGGGATTTTGTCAGAGGGCGGTGATCCAGTGGACGCTGGACCCGGCGGAGCGGGACGCGGTGCTGGCGAACGAGGAGGCGAGGAAGTGGCACCCGGGGGGCCGCGCGCTCGTCGAGATCGCGTGCACGCGCACTCCATCGCAGCTCTTCGCTGCGAAGCAGGCGTACCACGAGCGCTTCAAGAGGTCGCTCGAGGAGGACGTCGCGGCGCACATCACCGGCGACTACCGTAAGGTGATGATCCTGAATCTATCATCTACCACGGAGTTCTTGAAATTTTGATAGATCGATATCTCTGTCATAATCACAGAAACCATGAATTTTACACTTGCTGCTATGCTTCTCAGGGATATACGAGATGTTTATCATGACAATAGACTTATGCGAGATGTTTACTTCTTGATCTCCTTGTTCTCATGATTAGTATGTAGTGTATAGTGGATAACTCAATATTGAAGATGAATTGTTTTGCTAAGGATCTAAATCATCTCTTCAATTTAACTCTAGTATACTGCAATTCCACTTTTTTTATTTGTATTTTGTGTGGGCATTGATAAATGGTAACGTAGTTCTTAGATGATCATATCTGAGAAGATAATGCAGTTACTAGCTGTGTGAGATGATATCACTTCAGTTACCCTGGTCTGTATACTAGAATGTGACCATCTCCTCAGTTTACGTTGACTGGACCATTTTATTATTGTGCTTTAAAATTTGTGACATACTACTAAATTGCATACGTCAATGCTAAAAAAAGAACACCCTTGTTACCAAAATGAATTATTTTTATTTCTTTCTTGCAGCTTTTGGTGCCACTTGTGACTGTATATCGCTATGATGGGCCAGAGGTGAACACATCGTTGGCACATTCTGAAGCCAAAATACTCCATGAGAAGATCCATGACAAGGCTTACAGTGACGATGAAATCATCAGGATTCTCACCACAAGGAGCAAAGCACAGTTACTAGCAACATTCAATAGTTACAATGATCAGTTCGGCCATCCAATCACTAAGGTAATAATAGCATTGATAACCGTTTTTTTTCCCGTTGAAAAACATTTTACTTACCATTCCTTGTCCAATCACTAAGCTGAATGATAACATGCATTGTATTGAAATGTTTCATTCAGTAACATGCCATTGTTTGCACTGAACATGGTATTTTAGGAACTGAAATTATTACACATTGCTAGTGGTCCATAATGTCGTTTGCCGACCTGTCCTTGTCTGAAACTCTTCTAACACATTCTGGCACACTGACAGGATCTTAAAGCTGATCCTAAGGACGAGTTCCTTGGTACACTAAGGGCGATCATAAGATGCTTCACTTGCCCTGACAGATACTTTGAGAAAGTCATTCGATTGGCTCTAGGAGGAATGGGCACAGACGAGAACTCTCTTACAAGGATCATAACAACTCGTGCCGAGGTAGACCTGAAGCTGATAAAGGAGGCCTACCAGAAGAGAAACAGTGTCCCATTGGAGCGAGCTGTTGCTAAAGATACAACCAGAGACTACGAGGATATACTCCTTGCCCTCCTTGGAGCAGAGTGAGGTGTATATCTGCTCCATCTCGTCTGTCTGATCCTCCTTGTTTGATCGGAAAATAAGATCTGCATAGAACTGTGTTCTATTTTGTTGTTTCTGAATGATACAAGTGAGCTAGTCTGCATAGCAGTGCTCATATAATAAAATCTGTCCTGCATACTGGTTTGTCATCTGAGCTGCTTCAGATACTATTGGAGTATTGGTTCATTATCAAGCGTTATTGTTGCGTGGGGAATTCAGGTAGTTTTCAAAAAAAAAAAACCCCAGTTACATCGTTCGGGAATAGGGTTTTTAAAAAAAAAGCCCAGTTACATCGTTCGGGAATAGGGTGCCATGAGTTAGCAGAGGATGGTTACAGACATAGGAGACCATAGAATCGTGGAAACTTAATTGTTCTTAAGGCTAAACATGTTTTGTCGGATACTCCCATGAGAATCTCATGGTATATTCAACTCAATACTATGGCACTTTTGCGGCGTAGATTGGATCGGCTGTCAATTTTCACGAGTGACCAAGACTTGTCACAGTGTAGTAACTTGCTACGCATGGCTCTTACATGGTTCGTGTGTATCAGGACTTGACTTCAGGAGATTATCAGAAGGTGGCAACCTGCAGTAGTGAGTACATGACAGTTGTTACTTGTACGCTGAAACCTCTTCCACGAACTTATCAGGCTCTTGTACTCTTCCTGTTTACAGTACATGAATTAATTTCTTTGAGCATGTCAGCGGCGATCTTTTACCTTCCGTTTTTCGTATGTCCGCGCAATGTTGTCACTCGTGACGGTGTATACTGGTGCTTGTATGCCATTAGGCCGGCTCATGTCAACAACCGATTAAGACAGACAATATTAACAGACAGGTCAATTCCAAGAAGTAGTTGAACATCTGACAGCTTTTTTTTTCTCTCTGAAAGAAGAACATCCGACAGAATTGCTAGACTAATTTCAACCAATCTTGTAAGTAACGAAGTCCAAAAAAGCCAACCAAGAATTGAGATTACATGAGTGTATTAACGCATATTTCTGCAAATTTGGGAAAGCTTGAGTACAAACGCCATCATTTTTTTCAAGGATGTTATAACACACTAACCTTAAGAGATGCATGCGCAGAAAGAAAGTACTGTACTGCCAATTACCAAACCTTTACTACAGTATTGTATTGGCTTCCATTGACCAGTCCGACAAGGAGAGGTTACTCGTCGGACAAATCGAGCCACGAGTCGAACTCCGGCGACCCAAGGTCCGGCAGCCCATCGAACACGCCGGGCGGCGAGCACTGCATCAGCTGCACGGTCGAGACGCCCGGGTTGCTGCTGCTGCTGCTGCCGGCAGCAGTCGCCGTGTCCGAACCGTGCCCCTGAAGCGCGCCACCACCGTACCCACGCACCGCGGGCGACGGGTTGACCGCGTGGACGGGGATCCTACGAGGCAGCGGCCGGAAGATGGCGGCCGCCGGGAAGCCGGTGAGCTCCTGCACCATGGAGCGGAAGCTGGACACGTCGGTCGCCACCACGGTGGTCGACGAGCGGCGCGACGTCGACGCCGACGGGCGCGGCGGCGGCGCCGCCGCATGCCTCTTCTTGGCGGCGCGCTGAGGCTGCGCGGCCGCGGAAACGACGGCGGCGGCGGCGGCCTTGCCAGCCGGCTGCTGCAGCCTCCCGACGGCGTGATGGTCAGGGCGCCCCGAGACACCGATGCACGGCTGGTACTTGGCGCCGAACGCGGTGTGCGTTGGCGCCGTGCATTCGTGGTCGCACGAGTACATTGGCTTCTCGTGACAGAGGCTCAATAGTGTGTGTAGGTTTGCCAGTGGAATAGCTGCGTTTGATGGCTACTTATATATACTTAGCTGGAATTTACCGCCTGGGTCTAAATTCTTTTACCTCTTCGGTGATTATCCCGGTAGTATATTCTCCAGGCAGACGATCTTTTGGGCCAAGCAGACACATAAAGTGATGTTTTTTCTCCTAAAGATAAATATAAAGATAAAGATAAAGATTAATTTTTTACGCAAAATAAGATGGTATTAACGTATAATTAATTGAGTTTTAATTATTATAAACTTAAAAAATAGATTAATATGATATTTTAGAGCAACTTTCATATAGAAAGTTTTCCCACGAAACACACCGTTTAGCAGTTTGAAAAGCATGTCACGAAAATTTTTATTTTCATCCAACTATCGTTGTAGAATAGAACGGAACCTAAATGTTTAATCAGACGGTAGTGTATCGAACAATCGAGTTGGGTTGTTTTGACTTCGATTAGTAATTAATCTGTACATTAGTACATGGCGAGTTGATCCTTATCTTAGTTCTTCCTGTGCTCGTGCTCGTGAAGTGATCGTCAGTTAAAACAAGGAGGGTGTTCTACAAGCCAGTGGGGGGCAGATCAAACAGTTGAGGAGCGTTGTGAAATGGCATTGCGATCGCTAAGCTTTTTCCGGCAGGTCAAGTAGGACGGACTCTCTCTTCTCTGCTCTGCCTCTGCATGCAACACATCTTGCTTTTCGCGGTAGATTAACTTCTGTTCACGAGTAAAGCAAACCTTTTTGTTGCACTTGATATAGTTCCATTGGCCATTTCTTTCTAGATATGAACTCGATGACAGGTAGTTCATATGATTTGCGGTTTGCGGATGCTGCCCTCTCGTGTGACCACGCTGCTAGTGGATTCCCAACTGAAATCCCGTGGTCAAGCTCACGTACGCCAATAATTTCTCGGTCACGATGGTCGATGTATCACGTAGCTGAAACTCAGTTCAGACGAGAGTACAGCAGTATCGATCTAGCAAGCATACAGTTCCCATAACGTCGACGCATGGAAGAATCGTGTGGGCAATATTATCATCCAGACGCACGCGCTAGCTTAGCTTAGCTAGCTTGACTGACGACTTCTAATTAGCTGCCAAGGGAGATGGTGTGTACATACCGTCAATGTGTAACGTAACCATGTATACGATGTCATACAGTGAGATAGACCAGGAATATATGTGCTAACTAGTACGACACGCGTCATTCAGTGCGTTCGTGACTTGCTATCGTGGCGTCAACGTAGTTGAACTCTCGGCCTGTTGATTAAGCATGGGGATAATTAATCAATTACCGCATACCTGCACACACTTAGGACATGTTCACTTTAATGTCAAAAAAAACCTTACCAAAAATTAGCATACTTACCAAAATTTTTTACAGAATTTCTTATATAGTTATCAAAATTTGACAGCAAACTAAATGTAGCCACTTTTTTTAATAACTTTACCAAAATTTGGTAAGGTTGAAAATGACATCAAAATGAACAGGCCTTAAAAAGCTACTACCTGCTGGTACAATTTTGGAGGCGGTATTTTACTGACGTACTCCACGTATTAGCAGTTAACACAGAGAAGTCATGCACGTGCGAATGCGACAGTATCTTCTGATAAAAAGGAGGCACCGATGTGTCGGCCAGCTGCAGGCTGGAGCGGGCATGGCTTTATCACTGAGCTAAGTGCTCGCTAATAAACAAAGAAAACTCATTGATTTATTATGAAATCAAACCGCTCTATCTCTGTCTCGAAAAAAAAATCCGCTTTATATCAAACAATGGATAAGGATTAGCCATGATGAAGTGAGTCGGCATGGCGAGCTGGTTGCAATCAAAGCAGAGAGACCCACAAGGCACAATCCATTAGTATATGCTAGTATGATTTTATTATTTTTTCTGAAGACAAGTATATTGGTACGTAGTAGAACGGGATCCTGCTCCATCACATAATTTTGAGCCGTACGCAACCGTAACCTCGTTTCTCGACTAATATGGGCCGCACATACGTCACAGTCCTATTCTGGCCCAACTTCCACTACGTAAACGCACATGACATGACAATCCAGTTTTGGCCCAACCATATGTGGGGGAATCCAAATACGGGCCTCACGTAATCCCTTTTCGGCCCAACCATATATGGCCTGGAAGGTCCAAAAGGTAAGGCCCAGTGAGGCAGGGAATGAGTAAGTAAAGGGAATAAGTCTATTGACCTCCCTCATATCTTGCCCTTAGGTGAATTGCATCCCTCAACCACAGAACCGGGTATAACGTCTCCCTCAATTTCAAAAACCGGTACAAGTAGAGTCCCTCGGTGGTTTTAATAGCAGTTTCATCCTACATGACACTTACGTAGCGGGTTAACTTGACCTTCACCCCATGTGACATCAACGTGGCGCTTATGTGGCACTAAAATGAAAACAAATCTAAATAGGATCCACATGTCAGTGGTAAAACAATAAAAATAAATATCAGGCCCACCTATCAGTTACCCTTTCTCCTTCCTCTTTACCCCCCTCTCTCTCTCAAATGGATGGCGGCAAGCAACTGTGGATGGAGGAGGCGGCGACGGGACAGAGCACGAGCCTCCCCTCCCCCCTCCCCGGTCTTGCTGCCAACGTGGGTCTCGGAGAGTAGCGCGTGCAACATGGGTCCTAGAGTACTCAAGCAGCGCGTGGATGAAGTTGGATGCCGAGAAGTGGGATGAGCAAGCCGACCAATCCAACTGAAGAAGGTTGCCGGTCCAACTAGCGTGACGATCGGCAAGCTCCTCCAACTCGTGCAGCGCTGTTGGCCAGCTGGCGAGCTCCTCCCTAGTGCGCCGTCACCGCTGCGCTACCTCTATTGATGGAAGGTGTGTCGACGTTTGAGGTCACGACTACTGTATTTGCATGGTATGGGGATCGTTGGTACCGAGATTGAGTTAAAAGAGATAGAGACAAGGGTTTTTATACATGTTAGGGCCCCTTATCTGACAGGTAATAGCCATACTCATGTTGGCCAAAGCCGGTGTTGCTCTTTATTCATCTGAATTACACAAGTACAATATTTGGGATAACCTATATAACTATCGTCGACATGGTGGCACGAACACCAACACGTAGTCGATGACAGGGTAGTCTTCCTCCTCGAATATGAACTCGTCGAGATCAGAGATAGCACTAGATTCCTCTTTGTCGGCCTCCACAGGCACTGGATGAGGTCTGTCTAGGCTTATCTCTGATGTCGATGTCTGGTGGCGTATTGGTTTGTCCTGGCTTAGTGTGTCAATCTGTTGTGTCTTGTTGGTCTGTCTCCCCTCCTCCTAGGGGGTATTGTATTTATACCCATAGATGTCCCTTTGTCCAAGTAGAACTAGAGAGACCAATATGGATACAATTCGAATAGTCATTATAGTTTTCATATAGAACTCTACTCGTCCTTCCTTATCTGGAACTCATTCTATATACGAGCTATGATTTCGTATAAGACTTGGTATATGATGGGCCTCACCGAGCTTAATCAATTACTATTAGATATGTGGTATCAATAACCCTGATAAGGTGAGAGAAGAGGAATAGATGAAAGATGGAGGGGTCAGGGGGAATGTGAGGATGAGTTGGAGGCCACTGATAAGTGGGTCCGATTTGATGACGCAACAAGTCAATTGCCACATCGGATGAAACTGCCTCCGAAACCACCCTGGGAGTCGATTGCAATGGTTTTTGGAGTTAGAGGATGGGTTATACCCGATTTTGCAATCAAGGGATGTGATTCAAGGAAATGAGTTGAGGGGAGTAAAATAGACTTATTCTGTGAGTATAAAGGACAGTAACTATTGGATGGTCCGGTAAGCCCATGCGCATCGCTGTCCCATGCTGCTCATCACTGTATTGAAACGGTAGTTGCGCTTGAGTTGAGAATAGGGCGGTTTCGATCTCGTAGTGCGATTTAGACATGCCATCGGCTTTTGATTTGGACGTCTCCTAGGCATTACTCCGTACGACAGAGAGACGACCAATTCTTCCGAGACAGGAGTGTTTTGGCATTTCTTACATGGAAACGCTTTTCGATCGCGCTTAACTCCTGCTGCAGAGTTAGTTTCAGGAAACTGACAGGGGAGATCAGGAATGTGGCCTTAGTGATTGCTTAACTATACTTAATTTCATGGCACATACTGATCCAACGTTCACATGCTCTTCAACGCTCGGTTGCAAATTGCAATTGACAGTAGCAGCAAACCATGAATAGGTTTATAATAATGATCAACCGGTTGTCAACGGCCAGTATTGTATTGTCGGTAATCGGCATCAGCCACAAACACCAGGGTTGTTAGCTCTAACGAACCACTATTCATATATCAGTCTGAAATACTGAAATCCGATGATGCTACGCGGCAACGGTTTTATACTTTTATGATATCATAACAATCTGCCGTCACACCATGCAATGATGCGAGAAACGACGCTGACCACAGAAAGATTTGTTCGTGCCTGTGCTGCTTAACTTTTTGGTCTAAAATACAGTGACCCCAAATTCCCAGAACGATGGGAGACCTGCTAGCTGCTTTGCCAACTAACGCGCAATACGCTATTATTAGTGATGTGCTATCCATGTTTAGCACGTCGAACACGTTTTGGAGCAGATCGATCGATCACGATTCACGTCGTCGGTGACGGTGCGTACGTGCACATAATAGTGGAGCACAAAAATGGCCAACACAAACCCAAGTCCAGATTGCTAGCTAAGTCGTGCCTGCGTGGTTTGATCTGGTCCAACATTTTCCAGCGATCCAACAGGTTAGTGGTGGTCAGGAGTCAACCGCCCCAAGTTTTTGTTTTTTAGTAGTAGTAGTGAAAAATAAAAGGATCAGGCATAGCTGTTGTGTTATCTGTCTTCTGATCAGAATTTGCCTGATAGTTGACAAGCTGATGCTGTTTGAGAGTTGAAAAGGGAGAAAAAAAGAACATCGTATTTCACACGCACGCTTCCCAAGCTGCTAAATGATATTTTTTGAAAAAAACTATTTATAAAAAAATGCTTTAAAAAAATATTAATCTATATTTTAAGTTTAAAATAATTAATATTAAATTAATTACGCGCTAGTAGCTTATCTCGTTTTACATATTTTCTCAATTTTCTCTATTCCTCTCTTCTCTTCTCACGCCTAACACCCAATTTTCAGAGCGACGGACAGCAAGCATCTCTTAACCAAAGTTAAAACAATCAAGTAAACTCATGCTACACATGCACGGAGGAAGCGAGCCATGTTGTACCAACCTTTTGACCCACGTCCCTTATAAGCGTTTCTTGAGAGGCACTGGAGTAAAATAATTTCACGAGGTTGCACATATGTTCATGCTTGGTACTACCAAACATTTTTTTTGAGCCTGGGATTGCTTTGAGATTAGTGCAACGACTATAGCTATAAACCATTCTCCTTTTTTTTAAGAAAGAATTATAAACCATTCTTCTTAGCCACACTTCAGCAAACCTCAGGTCACACACCAGTTTTCCTCCCGACATGTCCGCTGCCTTCTACCTTCCTCATGCTTCTCTACTCTTTTTACACTACACCGATCTTCTTCTCTATTGTTGTTTTCGTCACTTAAGTTTTATTCTATCCATTCTAAACATGTAAGTCAACATTATCAAATATTTAAAAACAGAGACGTACTATTCTCGAAAGAGGAAAACAGAGGCGTACTACTAATCGTCTTGACCCTGCCATTCCATCAACCTCTGTTGTCTTATGATGGTAAACAGTAAGTGGCCCCATTTTGTCTTAGCATATTCTCCCGAAGAAACTAATTTCGTTGGTGCCCATGTGCCTCAAATTTCAACAAAAGAAATTCAAATTATGGTTCAAACTTCATCAACACAGTAGAACATTAATAAACTCCAAGACATTCGACCCAACCAAGCAGTTCCCACCATGAATGCCTCCCCAACCAAACCATGGTCCAAGAAATCCATATCTACTCCAACTCTCCAAGAAGAAAAACAAAACAAAACAAAACAAAAAAGAGGAAGGATAATAGAACTTGCCCAAAATGGCCCACAGGATGAACTGAACAGGTACAAGCGGGTGCATGTAAATATTCCCCAATTTAAATCCCCCTCCTCCAAAAATATTCCCACCCCAACCTCGCAACCCCGCCGTTCGTTGCCAGCCAGGAGCCAACGCCCGCGCTCCCTCGTCCTCGTCGTGACCCCCTTCCCCGCCTCCCGGTGCGCGCGCTCGCCACGACGCGGCACGACACAACGGCCGGAGCGGGCGCGCGGCCGCGGACGTCGCCGGTCGCCATGACGGAGTCGCGCCGCCCGCCGTCCGGCTGCGCGATGTTCGGCATCTACAGCGGCATGTTCCGGCGACGCCGGTCAAACTCCATGTCCTCCATCGCCCGCATCAACGGGGTCCCACCCGCCACCGCCGAGCACGAGCACGAGGCCGAGGCCAAGGCGGCCTCCGCGCCGGCGAACCAGGCGCACCGGAAGGGCGGCGGCGTCCACGACGACTCGTCCCTCGCGCACCGCCCGGCCAAGCCGCTCCCAGGGACGAACAACGGCGCGCAGCGTGCCCATGCACCGGCAAGCGACAGGGCCGTACACGCGACGAAGGCGGCGAACGGCGGGGCGAGGAATGCGGCGTCGGCGGCACCGGCCGCGGAGTACACCGGGATGGCAGCGGAGCTCGACAAGATGATCCTCGATCACCAGAGGGTCAAGGGCACCACGCAGCTGGTGCGCGCAACCTCCGGCAACATGATGCTCCACCGCAACCTCGGCAACCTCAATGCCGGCGTCCCCGGCGCGTCGGCGCGGAGCTCGCTGGAACGCAACCCCGCCAACAAGCCGGCGAACGAGCGGAAGGCCACCAACGGGTACGCGTTCTCCGGCCTCGGGAACATCGTCAAGGAGCCGAGGGCGCCGCCGGCGTCGTCCGAGCTGTGCCGCGCGCTGTCGCACCGGACGGACCCCGAGAAGCTCAAGGAGATGGGCAACGAGGAGTACCGGGAGGGGCATTACGCGGAGGCGGTGGCGCTCTACGACCAGGCCATCATGGTGGATCCAACGCGGCCGGCGTACTGGAGCAACAAGGCCGCCGCGCTCGCCGCGCTCGGCCGCCTCATCGAGGCCGTCGGCGACTGCAGGGAGGCTGTCCGGATCGACCCGTCGTACGGCCGCGCGCACCACCGCCTCGGCGGGCTGTATCTCAGGTACGCGCATTCCGCATTTGGGCGTTCAGATTGTTCATCACCAATGTCATTAGTGCAATTGAAATCTTTAGGAATCCGGCAAAAGAAATGAAATTAACTAGTATTTGCACAGGAATTCTTAAGGACACTGATCAACTGGAATTAGGTCTTTAGTAAAAAAAAACTGGAATTAGGTCAGTTCATATCGTGACTTGATTTGGAAATCAGATTTGACTAGCACCATAGTTATAGTAGCATGATCTAATTCTATTGGAAAAGGGATTTGATCATGGCTTTTGACAAGACGACAACTGATTGTTCAACTTTACCCACTAATATTTCGTAGGCAATTATTTTGGCCGAAAATAGGTGCACCAAATTTAGATGTTGGGGAATTAGTTAATGGAATGGCTAATTTGCATCAGCATTGGCTCTTTGTCAATGATGACTTATTCATTTTTTTTTGAAAGAAATGAATTCATGGTTGAGTAGGGGTACTGCTATTCTTTCTTGGAAATCTCAAACTTTTCCCTTAAGAAATGGAATTACCCATTGTTTGTGATTAGGCAATAGTACAATTTGATACATGTGCTCCTTTGGAACATTTGATCATTTGATCATTGGTTTAGCAGGTCAAGCAAGACCTTCTGCCGTAAATTACTCTAGCCATTTGCGATCACATTGATGATTGGTAATTCCAATAGCTAATCACTTCCTCGACAAGCATTCTCACACTTCTTTTTGAAGAGAATGATTGCAGCACTAGCTTAGTACTAGCTTGTTGAATTTTGCGATCTGTCAGAGAACAAGTCCACACACACTTCATTTTTCTACTGCCTACTCTGTACTGAGTACTGACATTGTTTTGTTTACACAACACCACGATGATTTTTATCGATAGTAAACTTACACCGTTTTTAGTTCCAAAATAATTCTTCAAACTTCTAACTTTTTCATCACATCAAAACTTTCCTACACACATAAACTTTCAATTTTTCTGTCATATCGTTCCAATTTCAACCAAACTTCTAATTTTGGTGTGAACTAAACACAGCCATTGCTGTTATTGCTCAGATTAGGAGAACCTGACAAGGCAATCCACCACTTCAAGCAATCGGCGAACGACTCGACGGGCGCGGACGTGTCGCGCGCACAGTCGGTCAAGAGCCGCGTCGCCAAGTGCGGCGACGCGCGCAAGCTGAGGAACTGGATCACGGTGCTGCAGGAATCGCAGGCCGCCGTCGCCGACGGCGCCGACTGCGCCCCACAGGTGAGCGTCCCTCGCGCCACGTGAAAGAAAAAGAAAAAGAAAAGGAAAGAAAACGTTTACGCGACACGACCAGCATCCGATCAAATGCAGCGATCTGATCATACGTCTCTGTCACGATGGAATTTTTTTCTGGAAGGTCATGGCGTTGCAAGCCGAGGCCCTGGTGAAGCTGAGCCGGCACGACGAGGCCGACGCTGTGCTGGGCGGCGCGCCGCGGTTCGGCGTCGACGAATCGACCAAGTTCTTCGGCACCGTCGCCCATGCCTACGTCCTCATGATCCGTGCTCAGGTCGACATGGCTGCTGGGAGGTTCGTTCTCAACGTTGTTTTTTATTTTTTTTCCTCTTCCTCGATCAAATGGAGATCAGCAGAGATGAGATGGCTGTATTCTGATGCCGTCGTGTTCATGCTGGATGTGTGAAGGTTTGAGGACGCGGTGGCGACGGCGCAGACGGCGTGCCAGCTCGACCCGAGCAACCGGGAGATCGCGAACGTGCACCGGCGGGCCAAGGTGGTGGCGTCGGCGAGGCTGCGCGGGAACGACCTCTTCAAGGCGTCCAGGTTCGCCGAGGCGTGCGCCGCCTACTGCGAGGGCCTCGACAGGGAGACCGGCAACGCCGTGCTGCTCTGCAACCGCGCCGCGTGCCACGCGAGGCTCGCGCGGTACGAGAAGGCCGTCGAGGACTGCAACGGCGCGCTCGCCATGCGGCCGGCGTACAGCAAGGCGCGCCTCAGGAGGGCCGACTGCAACGTCAAGGTTCGCTGCCTCCGCCGTGCCGGAAATTTTCATCGCCATACCTGACATGAATGCGCGATCTCATTTTTGTCAACGAACTTTTTGTCTGTGTTTTTGTGATCAGCTGGAGAGATGGGAAGCGTCGTTGCGAGATTACCAGGTGCTGATCCAAGAACTCCCGGAGAACGAGGACATGAAGAAGGCGCTGTCCGAGGTCGAAGCCAAGCTCCGGAGCCAGAGGAATGGGGGCATTGCAAGCAGATCACAACAGTGACGCCATGTAACCACAGCTAGCCTTACCAATTCATGTTTACATTCATCGAATATACCGTCAAAATAATTTTCCTACTAGGTTTCACCATAGTACTACACCAAAGAGAAATATAAGTATGTACTATTTGCTAATATATGTTCTAGAAAATGATAAATCAGTCGTAGAGAAAACCAGGTCCTTTTCAATCAAACAAAAATCAAGTAAAATGGACAGTGAAGACATATTTTCATGCCCTTGAATTCCTTAATTTTATTTCAAAAAAGCCCTCATCGGTACTTTTCTGGGAGACATTGTGTAGATTGCTTGCATACTGGAAAGAAACAAATCCAAAACTGCATCGTAGTCCCTATAGTACTTGGGCACTACTGTGTCGGCTCTAAAAAGAATTTCAGTACTCTTTATCTACCTTAATTTTAACTGGTTAGGTCAAGGACAGCAGTTGATTACCACGCGCAGATAAAGAAATAAAAAGGCTGTTTGAAAATTAGGGAGATTCTCGCCTGTGCTTCTTCTTTAGAACAAAGCATTGGCATGTTGATCTCTATATAAGTTTATTCTTCCTTGTAGGCTTCTTTAATCTGTCGGCTACCCGAAATCAACTGCAAGATCTGAAGAGGACAAGACTTTGGACAAAACAATGCAGCACGCACCATTGCGCGGTTTGTTAGTGTCAAGTCAGTATGATTCTTTTTTTGTGCACTATACGCCAAATTACAAGAGAATTGAGAGTAATGAAACTGTACATAATACTTGCTGCACCGAGAAGTATAGCTAGTTAATTTGAATGTGGGTTGGCAGTGATAGCAACCATGAAAGTTTCTGAAGATTTAAGTTTGCCTCACACAAAAAACATACTGGGTTGTACTTTGTACTACAAAACTAATATCCATCCCAAACAGAAAATGAGTGAGTATCCATTTGAGCATGGCTCCCTCTTGCTGAAACTATATCTGGAATCCGGATGCCTGTACAAAATTTTGCAGGACATGCATTGCTAAATGCTGTGCCGTGTGACTGACTGTACTATTGATGGTGCGTATATGTAACTGAACTTCAGTACTGCACACCGTAGTGCATGGCTTTCATTTATCAGTTTGGTTGGCACAATGGTCTGGATGTCTGAACATATGGTTGCTTGTAGTTTCTTCATTCTGAACCTGTTATGTGGCATTGAGAATGGTTTGCATTTTTCGGCTTGTCCAGAATCTGTTAAAGCTGAACACATAATTGGTAATGTCCAGCAGTTAAGGCAGGCTAATGCTAGTTCCGGGGATGAGAAATGTGAGCTCTAGATGTACACTTCCCGCGAGCAGATTTAGTTCATAAAAACTAGAGAAACTCTTTAGTAAACAGGGCTACTGAAGAATTATAATTCTATTACAAGTTCAATGTTTCTCTAAATGATCTTTTTTATGTAAATCCTCAAAATTAAAAAATGCTTGCATCTGTTCGCTATTCAACCTTCCGTTGATTTTTCAGAAAACACAATCGGAAAATTTGTCACTAAGTTTGGTCTCAATAATTGTAAAGTACTCCATAAGATTTAGTTTGTAGATCGTAACAGGTGAGCTGGTTCAGTTATGCTCTGAAACTTAGAAAAATCAACTTCTCTTAGCACTTTCCGAAAATTTTGCACATTATACAGAGGTCGGAGACTAATAACTACTCCATATGTTTCAAAATATAAACATTTCTAGGATTTAAATTTTGTACCGCAATAAACATTTTTAGGCACTGATTCCATTACATAGAAATCTTTACGTTTTCAACCAATGAGATGCTTGGAAAGGAGTAACTCAAAATTCAAAATTTGACCACTGAATTCTCTTAACGTAGTTTTCCTAAAGAATATAGAAATGTTTATATTTTGAAATGGATGTGGTAATAATAAGTAGTGATTCAAAAGGAATGACAAAAAATGGGCTAAAAGAAATCCGAGTTGACACTAGAACCAGCTTTTAATCCACCTACTACTTCCCCTGTACATCTGTCGGATAACAACAGTGGCAACAATTGCCTCTGGGCATACAAGGACAATTCTTTCAACAACATGGCCTTCTCTAACGAACTGTGACTGATCCATTAAAAAATGTGGCCAAATACAACATTAAGATCATGCCTTTTTATCACAGCTAATATGAGCTGAGCAGAGGTAAACCAACCACTCCAGCAAATGATTATCAGTTTGCAAAAAGAAAACAAGATATTCTGAAAAGTTCATCATAGAGATTCCAATCTATCATACAAGGCTAAAGCGCTAATGGTTGTATCTTAACTCCACTAGGAAAGTAGGAAATTAAAGTGAGCTATACAGCTCATCATATATATATTACTCGTTACATTTCACAAACAAAAGTACTATTCACCGTGTACTAGCATCTAGTAAAAGGTTATTACAGCACTATTTACAGAGCAGAAATCCTTCTGCAGAGAGACCATTGTGGTGGCCTTGGCAGAACAAATGAAGAATCTGCTGCGTGCTCATCGAACCCTTTACATGAGCTTTATATAAAGAAGAATATATAATTCTCCGAGGGAAGAAAAAAAAGGAAAAGAAAAGGCAAGCATGTAGCAAAAAAGTAGAACAAAACACACATACGTTGCTCACAGAACGATCCTTGTGGTGATCATCTCTTCCAGCTCCGGCAGCGCAAGACGGCGTCGTCGCCGCCGACGATCCACGTCTCCTTGGCGATGTCGACGGATACCTTGAAGAAGTCAGGGGCGTAGCTCATGAGCACAAGCCTCTCCTCCTTCTCATCCTCTTCTTCCTCCTCCTTCTTGGAGTTCTTGATCACCTCCTCCTCTGCATCTCCTCCTAACCTCCTCGGCAACCCCTTAGCCGGCGCCGACCGGCACCGCATCAGCATCAGGGCGTTCGCCGGCGGCGCCACGTCCGCTTCCTTCTTGTCCTGCTCCTCCTCCTCCTGCTGCTTCTGCGGCTCTTGCTCCCGCTTCCTGCTTGATACCTTCTTGCCTTCCTCGAGCACCATGAACCACTTGGCCAATGCAGCCCCGTGCTCTGTGTCCTTCCCCGCCGCGAGCTCCTCGTCGTCGTCATCCTCCCCGGAGGTGTACTCCACCACGGCGCCGGGAAAGCTACCGAAGCAGCCGGCGACGTTGAGGCGGAAGGCGCCGTGCACGGCGTTCAAGAACGGCAGCGCGTCCTTCTTGATGCCGAGCGCCTGCAGCCACGTCGCCTTCTTGGCCGCCTTCGCTCCCCCGGCACCGCCGCCGGCGCCGCTGATCTTGGGCTTGGCCGCCGGCCGCCGTGCCTTGATCTGGCCGGCGCACGTCACCTTCGGCGACGACGGCTCGTTGTCGACGGGGACGTCCGCGGCGCGGCGGCTCGGGTTCCTACCACTGGCCGCCGCCTTGAAGAGCGCGGCCGACGGCGGCGGCGGCCCGGACCTGCTCGTGCTGTGCCGGCGCTTGACCGGCTCCGACGCCGACGGCCGCGACGGGCTGCAGATCGCCTTGGGCGGCATCAGCGCCAGGTGCGCCCGCGACGGGAAGCAGACGAGCAGGTCGGTGGCGGCGCCATTGCTCCCCCTTCCTCCCTTCATCTCGTTCGTTCGACTGATCGCTCGATCTGTCTCAGCGCTGGTCTTAAAAGCAGAGGAGAGCCTTCCACCTTCCAGTTGCCGCTGCCGCTTAAAAAAGAAAAAAACTCGTAGCGAGCGATCCATCATGCAAAAAGGACACCAACGTGGCGCAGTGAACGGTAGAGATGGAGGCGTTCGGCCTGAGCATCTGCTTTGAGATTCGTGCGTTCCCTTGTAGATGTGTGCCGCCTCAGTGCCAAAATACAGTAACCTAGGGTGTGTTTAGTTCACATTAAAATTGAAAGTTTGGTTGAAATTAAAACGATATGATGAAAATGTTGGAAGTTTGTGTGTGTTGAAAAGTTTTAATGTGATAGAAAAATTGAAAGTTCGAAAAAAAAATTTAGAACCAAACTCGGCCCTACTAAGGAAAATGATATATTATAGTACTATAACTCCAATAGGCCATTGTTCAGATTTTATTAAGATTTGTAGTAGGGTGAATATGTTCAAATTAGTATTATCCTTCGGTGCTGGTAATAGTTGTTATTTTAGATAAAGGTGATGTCAAACTTGAGAATCTTTGATTATGAATTGTTTTTAAAATATTTGTCTATTAAATATGGTGACTACCTGTATAGATTAGTTTTAAAAAGTAATTTAATAAAATCATATATTTGTTAACACTTCTATATATATTATAATGAAAAATAATGGTTAAAGTTTTTTTTATATCGTGTCCTTGTCTAAAACGATAAGTATTATTAACCCGGAGGAGAGGTACCAGCTGTTTGAATAAATTATGGTAAATTATAGGGGGATCTTGGGAGGCTAATTGAGGTAGTTGATCACGGGGATGGGTGTCTTTATGTGGTGTCGTGGTCCTTGACCATTTTATTATGGGTGTAATCTACAGGGTTTTTATTATAATCCAGCATCCGCCACCTTTCTACCGATCCAATCAGGAGCAGGAGGACAAGGGTATGTGTGTATGTCGTGTACGTTGCACGGCACCAAATTTATTTCTGTCCGTCCACTGTCTACTGCAAGAGGAGCCCAGTTTTTGTACCACTGCCGCTACTAATCTTCCTCTGAACTGAAGAACCCGGCGTCGTAGCATGCAAGCAAGTACTGCCATACTCCCGAAGTACGCGGATTAACTTATTAATGCTATGCTGGACTATATACGGTGATACAGATTATACGGTATTTTTTTAAACGAACCGGCGAGCCGCTAATTTCACTTAATGTAGGGAAAAAATGTATAATCTGAACTAAAACCAAAGAAACTATTTGACAATTGTTAACAGTGAAATTTGGTAATCCCAAAATTACCATCGGTTTAGAGTCAGTATCGGCTTCAAAGTTCTAGAATCAGCCGATGGGAGAAGTCGCCACGATGTCGTGTTCTTGGTGGAGTCGGATCAATCAAAGGAAGCTTATCTAGAAGAGTTCGAGTTCAAGAAGGATGCGACATGACAGTTATCTATTAATTAGGCATAGTTTGTTAGTTTCCTTTTATCTTTAGGAAAGTGTGTTTAGTGTCCGATAAGGACTTTATCTTTTCCTTTTTAGTTTCTTTCTTGTCCGATAAGGACTAGTATCTCCCTATGGGTATAAATATGTACACCCGGGGTCATTGTAATCTATCAATCTATCGATCGATAATACTCTCGGCGCATCGCCACCCTCTTCCCTGAGGTTTTTACTTATCTTTCGGCGGAACTTGGGCACCTGACGCAAGGCTGCATCGGCTTTCGATCTCCAGCGAAGGGGTAAGTCCTACGTTCTGTCGGGTCCTGGTGAATCTATCGGCTACGTTGGTGTTGTTCAAGGCTGCATCGATTCGATCTCTTGGATCGCTCTGGTTTGGTTGATATATTTGCCTACCTGATATCTCAATTCTATCTCTAATTGCATTGTGTTTAGAGACGCATCGGTTTAGTTGGGACTGTCTCGGTTAGGTCTGATCTCCTGTCTTAGCCGATATATCTCTACAATCATAATGCTGTTCTAAATAGATTTGTTATATCCATCACATTAGATAGATCTATCGGCTCATCGAGTATTAGATTATCATATACAATCTCGTGCTGCATCGGTTAGGTTCGATCTACTAGATTGTTGTTGATAATATAAGTCTTGTTAAGCCGATAGGTTCATGCTAATGTTTTATCGGGGTGCTAGCCGATAAGTTATCTGGACGTTGCATCGGCTTGTAGGGATTGTATATACATATAAGTTGGATTTAGCCGATGGCAACAAAGGTTTCACTGTTTAATCTAATCTTGTGGATCTTATGACATCGGACCTCCAGCCGATGTGTGCTTTAACCTTCGGATCAATATTTGTTCTACTATTTCATATTGTTAGCCGATTGGTTTCTACTGGATTATATTGCTATATTATATTATCATCAGCCGATTGCCTTTATATCATTATCCACATTGGACATATAGCCGATTGCTTAAACCCTATCGCTATCGGCTGGTATCGGTATCGGCTATTATCGGCTATCGGCTGGAACTACTCCATCGGCTTGTCAGCCGATCGGCTGTTTAGATCTACTATTTGCATATCTTGTCAGTTGCAGGATCAAACTGACTGGCACGCCCACATCTCATCAATCTTTGAACCTGCATAGGAGCTAAGCAGATCTCCCAGGCCGGTGTTCAATTTTTTTCGTCAACAACAATACATCCGCTTTTTAATAGATGACGCCGTTAATTTTCGGATACAGGTTTGAATTTGTCTTATTAAAAAAATTTAAGAAAATTTTAACTATAGATACTTTGATATAAATTTAGCACCAATTTAACCACAAAACTATAACGTTTATAACTCCAATATAATAGTAGTGATAGGAATTTAAACTCTAAATTATGCAATTTCTTTATTATTTAAATATTAAATAGGTAGTTTTGATATACTTAGCTTTAAATTTGTAGTTTTATGATGACTTTAGCGTTCAATTTGTAGTTTAGTGATACAACGTGTTAAAATGCATGTAGTTTTATGAAAATAACTCAAAAATTTACGTAACTATCATTTATTTTGTTGTGCTAAAAATACTTTAAGCATAATTTATATCTTATGCCTTTGCGAGAAAAATAAAACAAACGGTTAATCGTGTATTTAATTAAAAGTTAATTGTGTCATCTATTAAAAAATGGAGGAATACAACGGAGGAATACTGTAGACTGAACTGAGAAGTGATCTTCGCTAGATTTAATTTGGGAACAAAATATAACGCGCCCGTGCATAATCTGCATCTGCCGTGGTGATGGATAATCTGGAACAAGCATGACCGAATCTGAATTCTGAATTGACACTACCTCCGTTTTTAAATATAATGATTTTTTTTATTTTTATATGATGTTTTCATCATTATCATCTTGTTAAAGAAATGTGCAAATAATATTTACTCTGTCACAACTTATTTTATCATTAAAGGTACTTTAAAAATAACCTTGTGAAAGTTAATAACGTTTTTATATGAAAACGGAGGGAGTACTACTTTTGTCGTACCACTACAAGATACAGGTATGGCACCTGGACCTTCTTGCTCTGAACTTTATTTTCTGCCGATCGAATACTTGTGTGTTTTAAGTGCAGTGCGCGTGCATGCACAGTTCGTTCGTCAGCTCGCATCTACAGCTGCGGCGAATGGCAATGCTACAGGATATGCAGTATGGTGAACATATCTGCATTTCCACTACTACAACTCGTGCCGTGGTGCAATGAATTGTGTACAGCTCCATAACTTGATGAGAGGTCCAGTGCCTCGTGACTGTCACGGTCTCTACGAGCGAGAAGAGGTGTGGCTGCCGCGGTGGCGCCAAACCTAATAATTGTCAAGCGGCGACGCAGAATTTATTTAGAAGAGAGATTGATCATTGCAGCATCACAAGAACTGCCCATGAAACTTCAAAGCAAACTAAACGCTACTGCATATATTAGTGGACTTATTTTTCAATCCGATGGGCACCGGTAGTATATAGGTTACTAGGTTAGTTAATTATTTCTGTTGAGATAATAAAATTCACCTAATGATGGTTCTCTTGTACCATTAGCACTTTCGATCAATACTAATGAGGTCGCCGTGATTGTTTATCTGTGTGCCAATGATAAGCTGGGAGAGGTTGGTGTGCATGAGTGAACCCGGTGATGTGTAAAGATTGTAAAAGGGAGTTAGCTCAAATTTAAGAACATTTGGTGCAATCATGAAAGGGGAGATGCACTTGAGAGGGATGCAAGGTATGGGGGACGGCAATGGGTGGCTAGGGCGCTAGGCCCATGCTCCACCGGCCGGCGGCAGTGGCAAAGCCATCGATTTATTGCGAAGTTGCTTTGCTCGGCACGCTAAGGGAGGCCGTCTCTCGGCAGAATTCATATTCCCGTCAGTTTCTATCTGAGTACGATAAAATTTGGGTTAATTTGATCCATAAATATCATTTGCAAATTTGTCGAAAAAAAATATCATTACTATTCGCGATATCTATTGGGTGCCACTGAAATTTTGTCAAATCGATAACAATTCCATTATCGTCTAGTTTTTTTGTTATCCATGTTAGATTCCTCTCCTTCCTCCATGTATGGCCTACGCTTCTTCAACCTCCTCGGCTTCACCGATTCCTATGTTGAAGCTTAACTAGTAGCAGCAGAATCGTCATGCTAGGGAGAACGAGATGGCACCACCTTATGGCGGTAGTGATGAAGAGGCAGAAGAAGACTTCAGCGCGGTGCCTCAAGGAGGCCGTTAGTAGTGCAGGAGCTCGATGAGGGTGCTGGCTGCGAGGAGCTCGACGAGAAGAACTTTGTGTCGGTGGCTTGAGGAGGTCCGCAACGTGACAAAGAGTGGCAAACTCTAGTGGGCGAGATGATAAGAGTTTGGCTCCAGCAGATGGGCTCAATACCATAGCCTCTAGTGGCGACGCACGGTCAGCGTGGAGAGGTTGCAAGGGCGGTCAGGGTGGTAGAGCGGCAGGGCTAACACTCTAGTACCGATGCGTAGCTTGGCCTCCTTCCTCCTCAGTTCCCTTTATTGCTCCAGGAGCAAATTTGGGACCCCGTCGTTGACCGGTCACCCATGGTCCTGTCTTCATCGTCTTGATGCCTCACTCTTGAACCATCGCCATGGGAGAAGAAGAGGAAAGAATGAAGATGGAAGGAAAATCTGATGGCGATGGTATGGTAATGGTATTTTTCTAATTCGGTATATTGGTAATGATATGGATCAAATGAACCAATAGAATTTAGACCTAGGATTTTGAACTAAAAATGAATTCTCAAAAACAAACTCTCCCAGGGTAGTAGTTATCCTTTTTTTTTATTCGAGGGTACTAGTTATCTGAGCATCTGGAAGTTTAATACTTCTCTGTGTCTTGTTGATAGGCTGGGGCCCACTCGAGCGTTGAACTAAAATTCTGGCCCAAACGCAACGATGGGCCGAAAAATTGGACCTCACAAACGAGGCTAATTGGGCGCGCGCTTGCCTGCCACAGGGCCTCAGGGGAGGCTCATTACTGGCCCATGCCATGAGCTGATGGGCCAGCCTGCTGATGATACCCAGCAAGTCGTCGATCCATCGCTAATGATATCCCAGATTTCTTATGACTTTAGGCGCAAAATCCGAAAGCTATCTCATAGTATTATGGCGCATTAATTAATTAGGGAGTAGCTATATTTATGGCACCATATTTTTCATCAAAAAAATGGTCGGCATGTATTTACATTGTAAGTCCCTAAATTGCGTATGTAATTTTAGTGTATTTACAATGTAAATTCCAAAATTACATATGTAAGTCCTAAAATTACATATGTAAGTCCTAAAATTACATATGTAAGTTGATGTAAGTCACAAAACTATAAATTTGCAATGACACAGATATTTAGTTTTTAAGATTAATTAGTAATCCTGATTAGCAAATAACGTTAAAACAGAATCGGAGGGATATGCGTACACATGCGGTGATTTCTGCATCCGCATCTGATGGTTGAAACAACCGACTGAAATCCATCATAATTTGTGGCGACATATTTTTAGCAATACCGATTAATTATTTAGTTTTCCATTGTTGTCATTGAGCTGGATTTATTTCACTTTACGTTGCTGTCTTAGGCGATTTTTCCTCCATTTTGTTCTGTATGACGAGGCGGCACGACGATGCGTAACCGAGGAAACACAACGCCGGTTCATCACCGGCGACTCGCAAAGTTATTAGTCGGATAGTCTGTAGCATCCACCGTACATGATAACGCACGCGGATTACCATCTTTACAAATCAAAACATGAACACCCCCCCACAGTCTACAGATGCCACTCACCACAGATAACGTACGAGCTTATTTCCCACGGCGTGGCCGCGTCACTCGCTCACGCCGCGGCGGCGCCCGCTCCTGCGGCGGAGCATTTGTCGCGGATGGCCTCGAGCTTGTAGGGCGCGGCGTCGGTGGCCAGCCACTGCTCGACGGTGAACAGCTGCTGCGCGCACCCCTTGTGCGCGCCCGTGACGGTGACCTCGACGTAGTTGCAGTACCATCCGTGGTGCGGGCCGGTGCCGTCGGACGCCACCCGCATCCAGCACGGCGGCGCGGCCATGCACGGGCCGCGGCCGCTGAAGATGTCGAGGTTGCCGCGCTCGAAGTAGGAGTGGCCCTCCCCCATCAGGCCGCCCCACGACGGCAGGTCCGTGATCCCCACCCCGTTGCCGTCCGCGCCGGCAAGCTCCAGCGTGATGTTCGCGTCCGTCCCGGCCTTCCAGATCGACCCCGTCCGGATGTACACCGTGTACACGCACTCCATCTTGTCCCCGCCGGCCACGGCGCCGGCGCCGGCGTCGGCTCCCCTCACCAGCTGCGAAGCCGCAAGGAGAAATTAAACGATCGATGACGAGGTGCCAGAGATCCAAGGCCGACGTACCTTGATGCGAGTCGGGAGGAGGTCGCGGCGCCCATGCGCTGGCACGGTGGCGGACGACGCGACGGCGAGGAGGAAGAGGAGGGAGGCGGCGAGGTTAGCCATGGATCCGATCCGAATCGGATCGAGGGAGCTAGTGGCGATGTGTGTTGTTTCGGTGTGTGAGCTGCGGAGATCGGGGGGAGTGGATGTGGATCAGTATAAAAATGGAAGCAGTTGATGAGTCGTGGGCTCGTGGCGGTGGGGGCCTCGCTGTCACAGTGTTGATGGTGCGGAAAATTTCTTCGGCCGCATTCGTCTCGATCGGACATGAACGCGCATTATTCTAACGAGAAAATCATGCTGGATAGGCCCCATGGGCCATATGCCATGGCTACTCCACCTGCTTCATACATCTGGCGGCAACTGTTTGTCTTTCTCCCAGAAGTTTCACTATTAACGCTGTTTTTGGTTTCACAGCAAAACTGCAAAATGAACCAGTAGAGGCTCCAGGATGGCAGTGAAAAACAGGTTGGATGAGCCGGATAACGTTACTGGCAACCAGGCACGAAACGGAGGGATCCGAGAAAGTAGAGGACGAATAATAATGGTAGACGGAGGGATCTGCTTACTGCTTGGTACGGTCGCGTCTATCTCCTTGGACCGATTGCACGTTGGCCATGTTACACCACATGACTATCCCTGCTTATAGATAGTAAAATTTAAAACTGTCCGTACAGTACGATGGACGAGCCTTGGAGACGAAATACAAGTCCCAAGTCCCAACCAACCCATTTCATTCCTTGCGTCGAAGAATTCTGATGCCGCATCAGTCCTACAGCATCAGGCACTCATGAGTCCTGACCCAACATTAGGATTGCCACTTCCAGTCTTGTCTGAGGAACAATTTGCAAGAGGAAAAATACACCCTCTGTCCCAATATATAATAAGTTTTGGCATTCAAAATTTGTCCCAAATGTTACAACCTAGTACAACTCTTACCACAAATCTACCAATTCTACCCCTCAGCATAGTTATCAGTGAAAGAGAAGAAAATAAATCTACCAATTCTACCCCTCAGCATAGTTATCAGTGAAAGAGAAGAAAATAATGGAGTACTAGTTTATATTGCCGTATGTGCTTTTGCCGTCTACCAGTTTAAAATTTGATTTGCGTGTGAGTGGATTTTTACTGTGTTTTACCAGCTTTCTGGCGCCAATGCGTTTGAAATGCACGTGTGAGTTTGATGGCAGCAAACAAACCGCCACCACTGAGTTTTAGTACAGGAATAATCATTGAGGGTAGTATGGTCTTTTTTCTACTTTACTTAATACTTGTGCACAAGCTTAAAACTTGCTACATATTGGGATAGAGGGAGTAAATGATCATACAATTGGCTCAAACTTTGGCTTCGACGGAATTTTGCAAGGAACCATTTCTCAGCTTATCGAGCAAATCCATATTCATGGTGGAAAACTGAAAATACAGCAAACACAATCGGGAACCGACTATGACTCTTGGAGGCAGTTCTACGGGATTTTGATGAAGATAGGATTACATAAGTATTCGCAGTGTACATAACACATGACACCAAGTATAGGAGGTGGCACTAGTTAGTAATCAGTCAAATTGTTGCCGCAGGGCCATCTCAGTTTCACTCTTCCACGAAGCGTGTGATGATTGCCCCCTCATCCTTTTGATCTTCTCCTTGTCTTTGACGGTCGATCCTTTCTTCTTTTCTGGCTCTCTTGCCTGCTCTGGTCTATCGTTGCAAACAGGACACACCATACCTCGTGCGTGTGAATAGGTCTTTGGTATACCACATTGGAGGCACATTCTACAGATTGAAAAGAAACACAGTTTTAAGAGCAGTAAATAATTAACCAGGAATATAACGAATTCAGCTAAGTTTTCAAGTTATCTTGTTGTAGTATTGATAAAAATGACCAACCTTAGAAGATCAGCAGCATCTTCTGGACCAGGATTTGCCGCACCTATTATTCTCTTTCCTTCAGTAGAAACTGGAGGGTTGGCACCATTTGTTCCACTGCTAACTCGTTCACGAATTGCAACCAATTGAGGTTTTGCGACCACAACGGCACCTGGAGAAGGCTTTCAGTCAGATCACTCTTAGATGTAACATGAACTGGAAACAGTATAAGTGCTATCGCAGAAACTTGACACGCTAATACTAAGCACATAGAAGCGCATACAGTGATCAGATCCGATTTACCATGTACCTTGTGCCCAAGCATATCAATAATTTGCAAAATATAAACTGCCAATCCGATTCAAAGCAGTTGTAAGAACAGAGCCCATTCTATAAACAGTCATCAGTGATGGGAACTTTTTTTTTGGACATGCTGCACTTTGACAGTACTTTCATGCAAAACGTGAAGTACGGTACTTTTGGAAAAAAAATCAACCATTGAACGCATAACATGAATGAATTTATCCCCTTATTTTGCTATGCGAATGTAAGATCCAATTTCTAACTGTCCTACATGTATCAGGGGTGCCAATTGGAGCTACCATGTCAAAGAAAGCCTGGCTAAAAAATGTTCCCTTCTTTTGCGCTGCACCCCCTCAATTGGAACTTGGCAGGCATCCCAATTGTGCCAAGATCTTGATTCCATGCGAGCGCATTCCCTAGTATCTGTATAGACATCTAACACGAAAGACTAGGCACACATCAATCAAAGCACTGAGCAGTATGAACAACCCAAGGGCCAAGGCCCTCCAACACCACTGCATATTACCCATTTTTGGACCAAAATCTCAACCAGCACATTGCAATTCTTTCTAGAATTGAAGCGATTGACTCTAGTAGAACTTTTATCCAACACAGACACACTGTAATCAAAATATCTATACATCAAAGGAAGATCACCACACCAAGTATAGGTGATAGTATCATTCAATCCACAAAGTGTAATCTACTATTCTGATTTCCGAGAATGTCAGATTTGAACCTACGTTGATAATTGCTTTGCCAAAAGGGACGAAATAGAGGGCTCATTCTAGTACTGCAGATGTCAAATCGAGTCTAAAAAACACTACTCATTAATAAACTTCTGAGAGAACATCAATACTCGCTTCAATTAGCTGAGAAGGCTCACCAGGAGGCGGCTGCTTGCTGTCACTTCCCCTCCCGCCCTTGCCGCGGCGGTCGAGCACTCCGAGCGCCTCCACGGCCTCCTCGGGCTCGGCGACTCTATTGTTCAGGAACTCCGGCGGGCCCGATATCTCCGCGAAGGCATCCAGTGCTGAGGGCAGCAATGAGCCGTCCCCGCCGCCGCCGCCAGCATCCCCGCGGCTAGGGTTTGGGCGGGGGCGGGGCTTCGCGGCTGGCCTCGGAGCAGCGGAAGCCTCCTCGCCGTCTGATCCGGCGTCCTCAGCGGAGGAGTCGCCGGAGTCGCTCAGCTCGCCAGCGCCGGCGCCGGCGGCGGCTGGGTCGTCTTCCTCGGCGGAGGAGTAGCCTTGCAGAAGCGACAAACTCATCTCCGTGTTCGTCTCGAGCCGCATGCCGTTCGTTCGTTGGGTTTTGCTAGTGGCCTAGTGGACCTGAGCAACAATTTGGGCCCAAACTCCCAAAGCTGCAAAACCACATATGGGCCAAATACTGCTACTACAATTTAGACCCAAAGCTGAATATCACATATGGGCCAAATTCTTTGCAATTGGCTGGGCTGCTAATCCATCCCAAAATATTTTTTGGACTCATTTAGTTTGATGCCCTACCACTACCAAACCATTGACAGTACCAAATCTTAGGTATATTTTGGCACTACCAATATTTTGGTAGAGTTGGACTATATGAGTTGTATTAGCTATTGCAAATATTGGAATCAATCCAAACATCTACAAAGTACTATTTAAATTGCCAATTATTTGGTAGGGTAAGTTTTGGCATCAAACCAAAACAGTCATTTTTCTCTAAAAGACTGTACATCCATAATACTCAACCAAACATGCCTTATCCAACAGCTACAATATTAATATGCTCTAACCTTTTTTTAAAGAAAAAACGCTCCTAAAAAAATGATTAAGTCATTCCATGTCCAACCACGTTCTTCACCTTACTGCTTGCCTGTAAAACCCACACGTGCCACAATTGATGCATGTGCGTGTGGCTGCACGCCAACCTGACAATCTTGACGGTGACTATTACACTAGTTAAGCCGTACTAATAAAATTCCACATACCAGCAACTGGTTTTTTTTTTTGATAAAACAACTGGTAATTATTAGTAGTACTACACACTTTTCTCTATAGTGATTCGGTTGGGCAGTGGGCCTGCAAAAAACTTTCACGACCGGGTCACTGATGGTTGGACGACGGAGATATTTCACAGGCGGCGCCAGGTCGGACAGTTGACTCGCCGCCGAGGCGCCGAGAAGGACAAGAGTTGATGTCAAGTACAGTCAGCAACACGATGATGTTCTCGGCGATCTTATTCTTTAGTGGCGTCATTATCGATCATATCGCAGTCATTGGCCCATTACACTGCATTTTTTCACTTCTCAGTTTCTTTATGTGTGCAGTATAGTACTATACATATAAGTACAGTATCTTATGATATATATTCTGTTTTCTTCTGTCACATTCATCGTCGATGCTCCAGGACCAGAAATTAAAAGGACATGCGAAGGAATAATGTATGTGAAGTGAAGATGCAACAACCGTCACTCTGAAAGACTGAAAGTGGGACTCTCAACTGAAGCGACGGTTTAACAACTCCGGAAGGAGGCAATGTTCGATCGATCTTTGTTTAATCAATCAAATTAAGCTTCATTAGTTTAGTTTGAGCTAGCTGGTCGTGAGTGCCAATCAGAACTTAACTAGAAGTAGCATTTTTTTTATGAAAAAAGAAACATAAGAAGATGAGACTTATGCATATTTATTTCGCAGCGTGTGCAGTCAGCTGGATACTCCAGATCGATGAAATCCTAATTGGTTGCTACTCGATTGGACATTTTGGCAGTTTAATAATTAATTATATAGAGAGAATAAATTTGAGTTTGACATCAAGTACTTCATGCTCTTCATGTCTTATCACAAGTTTTAAGAAATAAAAGAAACGTCAGTGTTAAGCTAGTTAATTACTAGTGTTGTCATTTCCTTGATCTGCAGTTGTATGCTTGAGGACTAGTACAACTGCGTTACATTATAGCACTTTAGTACATCCATTTGTTCCTATTGCTGGCTAGTCAACCAATGAAGGCCAGGCCTTAATATGATAATTAACGAACATGTTACAATGTTACCATACATTCGGCATGGTCAGACAATCGCTACGTGTAACTACGTGCGTGCAAAAACAATACTACTTGAACCACCACCACATGATCTTCATTAATGGGAAAAGGTGGACACGACTGTACACGAGATCCGATTCATATTTCCTGACAAATAGGACGCCAACAACTAGGGATGGCACGATACGATAGCTAGTTTAATTAGGACTCGGGTGTAAACATATAGCGTAGTACACGACTCATTCGCGCGCTTGGATCTTATAATAGATAACATTACCCATCCAAGCATATCCTTGCATGCATTTTGAGGTAGTAAAACGCATATTACTATTACATACTCCCTCCATCCCAAAATGTTTGACACCGTTGACTTTTTTAAAAATGTTTGACCGTTCATCTTATTTGAAAAATTTAAGTAATTATTAATTCTTTTTCTATCATTTGATTTATTGTTAAATATACTTTTATGTATACATATAGTTTTACACATTTTTTTAAATTTTTTTAATAAGACGAATGGTCAAATATGTTTAAAAAAGTCAACGACGTCCAACATTTAAGAAAGGAGGGAGTATGTAGTACATGCCTCTTTAAGTCACCCTTAGAATCAAGTACGGTACTGTATAAGTTAATATACAGATGGCTAAACTTTTGGAAGCACATAGCACTCCACGTATTGAAAACCAACACGTACACGCACGCGCATGCACGTTGATCGATCGATCCCCCCTGAGATGCTACGCTAAACTTATCCGCCCACGCATAAACAAACCCCCGCACGGGTACGGTCACACACGCCCATCGATCTCACGCGCGCTGGCCCGGTACGATGCGTGCCTGCGAGGCAGATTGATCGGCCGTGCGTGCACGCGCGCGCGCATGCCGCCGCCACCTGTAGTGACCGCCCCGGGTCAGTAAACAAAACAAACACCGCCAACTCCTACACCGAAACCGCGGCCTCGTGCGGCGCGCGCCCCTCCCTGCAAGACCGCGGCCCTCGCGCGCAAGCCGTAATGCCTAGCTCGTCGTCCGTCGTCTCCGCGCGCGCGTGTCCACCCGCAGCCGGCACGGCCGAGGCGGCGACACGCGTATATGGCCCCCATGCCGCGCGGCCGGGGTCGCGGTCGCGATGGGGATAGCCTAGTGTGACCTGATGGACGGATCACGGATGGAAGCATACGCGCCTCTTTTCCGCGGAAAAAGCCCCCGCCTAGGGCGCCCCGTGGGCGAGCCCGCAGCCACAGGAGGAGATCGAGCGACGAGCGCGCGACACATCTGACGCCGGCGGGACGAGGCCCCCCGGGTCTACTGGTCGCTAAAGCTGGCCGGCACGCCAAAGCCGAACAGTTCTCGTCAACACGTCAAATCCCAATCGCTAGCTGCACGAATTGGTAACTATAATTCCACTTTCCACCGTCCTGCAGGGTAGTATAGCTAGCTAGATAGAGTACATATATAATTTGTACATGGAAGATTTGATCTATGCGACGCTAGCTGCTACAGGCTGCCTACGGATCAGGCAGGAATAAGATACAGTAGGGATGAGTTTGTGTGATCGATCGATCGACCATCTTTAGTCCTGGGGCAATGCTTTTGGAGCAAGCTAGTAGTAGTAGTAAACTCAGAGGGCATATGCATGCAGAAGGCCCATGCGCATGGGTATGGGCAGATAAAAGATCTGGAATTGGCATGCAGATGCAGGCATGAAGGGCATTTTGACAGTTGTTCCTCTCCTAACACCTGGCTAGCTAGATTAGGTCCATGATTGGGCAGGCATTAGATTCTCGGGAGTTGTGCTGGCTGGCTGCCCTGCATTGTTTGGTCGCACTTTGCATGGGCTCGTGTTGAAGGCGGCACTAGCAGGAGTGGCTCCTCTCTCAGGATGTGACTCGATCGGAGACAGAGACCCAAGCTCAACTGATCAAAACCCAATTACTTACCCAACCCAACCACCACCAGGCACCAATAATGAGGGTCATCTAGGGTTAGTTATTTTATACGGTGGCTTAGGCACCAATCATGAGCTAAAACACAGTGGACTCAACACCTTTCCACATAGGAAAGGGGGGCACTTGTCAAATGTCAAAGCCTTTTCTGGACACTTGCCTGTGTACCAATACCTCAATACCCCTGCACTGCACTGCAGGTGGTGCTGCAGAATAAAAAGCACCATGGCTTTAGTGGATTCCAACTCCCTTCTCAACCATCAGATTCCTTTACACATAATTTGTGCCTCGATCACCAGTCACCCCTTTCCTTTTGATCTACCTAAAAAAAGCATTAGCAGCAGCAGTATCTCTCAAACAAAAAATGCCCCTTTCTCTCTCACTCACTTCACCTGCTGTGTGTCTGATCCTTCTGACCTTTTTATTCGCTAACAGAACTAGTGATAAACCTCTGGAAATGTGAAGCACTCCATGCTAATATAATCTTCTACCAGTAACAAACTCAATAATAGTAGCACTAGTACATGTAACAGGAGTGTGCCACATTGAGGCATGTAAAAATTATATATGCATCTTGTGAAGAGTTCTAGATTGTTTAGGTGAATAGTGGATACCGGATAGATCTCTCCACCTGGGAGCCATGTGGGGCTTGTGGGGGTCTGGCTCGCCATTGTCACTTGATTCAAGGGCAGCCAGCTTTCTACGAGGCCTTTGGCGTAAAATATCCACGCAAAGCAGCTTGGATCTGTATAAACAAGCATTATTTCGCTGCACCCTATAATGGTTGCATCGCCTATTTTATTGCCCTGATCCTTTTTAACCTCTTCTTTAATCGCTGGCTTGGTTAATTTGGGGATCTCAATGCCAGATTAGGGGCCAATTCTATAATCAGTACCACGATCAGTGACTGTACGCTTGTGCGCGCGCGCGCGCGCTCAAAGCCGCGCCGGCTTTAATTAATAATTCCATGTTGGCTTGGGTTAGTGTAGCTAAAACTTATAGGAAACAATGCAGGGATAATTAGCTAGTGATCGAGTGTAGTATGCCTGTTTGGATCATATCATATATCTATCCACGCAAGAAAGGATTCCGAGACCAGCTGCTTGTTAATTTTCTTCTGTTAATTACTACATTTTTAGGACTCCTAGTATAGACTGCCAGCTAGCAAAACTGCAATCTTTTGCTTCTACAGCAAGGGACAGAAGACATATAACACGTACTGAAAGTTTCGATCGCTACCAGCCGAGAGAGAGATAATATATAGGAGCAGTTAAGATGGTGACACTGCAGCAGTAACAATGATAAAGACCCTATGGTATGGCACAAAATCACCACCTGGGTATATATATATCCACATCGACGGATGTTGCAACGCAACAGCTTCATCAACTCACGCGCCGTCGTTTGCTGCAGAGATACGCATGCATTTTATCGGCTCTTGATTGCAGCAAATAACACTTGGATGATGAGTTGAGCCCCAAGAAGAGGGGTTTGGTTGCTGGTGCCAAAAAGGCATAAAGTACGAATGATGAGGCCACTCTGAGCCCGTAAAACGCATCGCATACATGCCACCTTTCATAGGACCAAGGGGTCCAACAAAACCCTACCTTGCGTGGCCATCTGAGAGACGACTGCAGATCAGAGGACGATGGATCGCTGCAGCTGTGAGGAGGATGTGTGTGCATGGGTGCTTCTGGTTGGTTGGAGCAGTGAAATGCGGGGCTCGCAGCTTGATGGCGATTGATAAGCTAGGTTAGCAGTATTCAAATTAAAGTTGTTTCGGTTGGCGGATGTTTTCTAGTATCAGATGTACCACTGAATCCCAATCATAAATTGCATCAGAATATGTAACCACCAATGGCCTAGCTAGCTTGCGAGTTCCTGTGCTATGGTGTCTGCAGTACAGTGCACATTGGTATATACTGGGCATGCAGGACAAACAGGGGCAAGGACCTACTAAATCCAGCACACACAAGGGCGCATTATTGTGTGCGTGATTGGATCGGCAATGCTTTCATTTCCAGCAGCAGTTACTCATTTTCATGTCTTAGGAAACCTGCTTTGCGTCTGGGAAAAAAGTGGTAGGATGATCAATTGGTCACTGGAAGTGACACATCAAAGATAATTGCAACTTTGGTGGTCCCAAACAGTCAGCTAGCTAGCTCAATCTTGGCAGAGGCTTGCTTCCACATATGAATGATTTCTGATAAAGATGAACATTTTAAGTAGCACTGGCTTTTCCAGCAGAAGAACATGAGCTAGTGCTCTAGAACTGTACTATGGCCATGCAATCACATGAGAATATGCATCGAATCATTGTGAGGAATCATCTGGACAGGGGGGAGAGGCTTCACTCACTTAATGCATGTATATATAGTAGTGGTACTATACATCTACCGATGATTAACAATTGGCTATACTTATATTAATGAGTCGTCTTAAGAGGGAGTTGCGGCCTAATTAAGGCCACAAGGCACAGAGATTGTTAATTAGGTTGTGCTTAATTCCGCTCTACTTTTTACCGGCAAATCTGATCATATCAAGAACTTACACCAATATTCAAAGATGCAGCACATATAGAATACATTGCATATTGCACACATTGACGAGCAGCGAGGCAGGACCACAGCATGCATGGTTGGAAGAGCCAGCCTATCGTGTGTCTCTGATCAAGGAATCATCAACATGATCGAGCTATTGGGTTAGTAATATAGGTGTACATGTGTAGATCTCTGATACACACGTCTCCGTCTTAATAAGCTGTTTCCATAGTACAGCACAGGCTGAAAAGCAATTCAGAACCCTCCCCCGTTTAATATATATCACACGTTCGTACACGCGAGATGTACCCGTTAATCACGGCTGCTCGACAGGAATCAGAGCGACCTGGTTAATCCTGTAAACAATGCCCTGCGATCTTGTTGGAGCTAGCTAGCTAGTTTGTCACTGCACGCAAGAACCCTGCAGGTGATCATGCAGGGAGATCCTGCAGCAAGCCGTTCACATGCTTCCCGCGAGGTGTTGTATGTGTACGGTGTTAGCTAGCCACCTGGCCTCCTTTTGTTTCCCGGTGCTCATGCATGCTCACATCACAGTATATCTTCGTCGTCATGAGATCATCGAAAGAGCAAAGAAAGTTAGCATCCCAGATCGATGGAGAGGTACTACGACATGCGAAATAATCCATTGCTATTAATTAATTAACTCCATTACATTTTACAGAGGGAGATCGAGGACGAACTGTCGACAAACGGATGAATTAAGTCTTGCTCTAGCTAGCTAGTAGTAGTACATTTTACATGGGGTGATGAACAGATCGATGGAGATAGAACCTTCTCTTTTTGTTAAGGGTCTAGGATGGCAGGTTTCTTTGCATATGCCTTCCAAGTCCATGGGACCAAAAAAATAATAATAACAAGGGTAGTAGTCGTAGTCGTAGTAGCAGTAGCAGCAGTAGACTACTAGTAATAGTAGTAGCACATTGCCGGGTAGTAGACATGGTTACTGTTCTAGACTGCAGCTGCAACACCACCAGTGACCAACATGCCTGGAGCCATGCTTGCTTTGGCGCCGGCCGCTGCGCGCCCAAACATGCCGGAATCTGATCGAGAGCTAATTAAGCGAGAGTTTTTTTTTCTTCTTTTTTGGTGGTCTCCTTTTCCTCGGCGGCACAGGGGACGGAATCGAACAGCTAGCGTGTAACCACCACGAGTCCGTCGCAGAGGCCAACCACAGAAATCATCGGAAAAAAATGGGGGTAGTACGTGGTGTTGGTGGGGTATGTTCGCATGTTCGCATGATTGACCATCTTAGTTTCAGTTTCTTACGGCCTCTACACCGTGTCGCCGCTACACTCTCGGACGAATCATCAACGACGACGACGACGACTTCCGCTTCCACTCCACCAGCCTGAGCAAGAACTCCATCACCTGCAGAAACGGGTCAAAAACGTTTTATATATTCTGTACGTGCTGTGCTCGTGTGTATACGTACAAAAAGGTAAAATATTTGGACATGTTCTTGTCTGAGCTGGGTTTACCTCTGTTGGGTCCTGGAGAGAGTAGGAGGCGTTGGTGTCCTTGGGGCACTTGGAGACTAGGATTCCCAGGCCCTGACCTCTCTTTCTCAACACCTGGTTTCAACATAGCGAGGCAAAAGGTTTTGACCAAGTTAATTGCATGTGTGTAAAACAAACACCAGTCGGAATCACCGAGGCAAGCATGAATTAATCGGTAAAGTGATGATTAGATGCATGCATTTATGTTGTGTTCTTGTTAAACTGATGTGATGTTTACCTTGAAGGCGTCCTCGTCGGTGCGGTCGTCACCGATGTACACCGGCATGACGTCGCCGCAGTTGGCGAATCCTGGGGAGGAACAGCGAATAGGGGCAAAGTGTCATCAGCCGATTTTTTTTACGACAGTGGTGTGGAACGCAAGTGAAATAAAACCGAAACGAAAGCGACTGTGACGACGCTGACACGAACAGGTTAATTAAAAAGATAGCAAGAGTCATAGTCTCATAGAAGGTGGAGAAAAGACAAAATGTCCAGATGTTCGTACATACCCAGCGATTCAAGCAAGAACTCCAGAGCCTTGCCCTTGTCCCACTCAATGCTCGGCCTGATCTCCAAAACCTAAAAAAAAGACAAAAACAAAGTTGCAATCTTCGTTAAAATAGATCCTCACTAGGTATCTCTAACTGATTTGATTTTCTGGGTAATTACTTGGTAAGTTCATTAGAGATTAACAAGATTATGCATGCCTACCTTCCTTCCTTGGGTAAGCTTCAACTTTGGGTATTCCTTGATCACGGCCTTGACCTGCTCCCCCAAAGCATTCCATCTCTGCAAGAGAGCAGTAATGGTTCAGACTTGAGACGATGGGTGTGGATAAATTATGGCCGCACATGATGCAGCTGCCCGTTATTATAAAGCAGTGTAATTAAGTGAAGCTGTTGTGTTGGTATCCCAAGATAGAGTGAGTCCTGCCTACCTTTTCATCTACACATCTGAAGTGGACGGACAGGCAGAACTTGTTGTTCTCCACCTTGGCTCCAGGTGTAGATTTCGTCTTTTCCACCAGCGTCTTGTACACCTGACAAAATGTGAATATTTCATCACCATTAATATCTATGGGTCTCGAGTAATCAGTGCGGGTTAATCACAAATCGACAAGTGTCCAGCTACTAATTAATCCTCATTAGCGAGGCAGGTTAGTACCTCGTCGATCATGGGGAGGAACTCGCTTGCTGGCTGGCAAAGGGCAGACTCCGGCTGCAGATTGTCATGGGAGAAGAAGAAGATTAATTAGCGAGAGTGAGCTGGGAATGAGGAGATGATTGGATGAAGAGGTGCAGCGAGCATACGTTGGAGCTTGGTCCCTTGATGTCCATGCCATGGCTGCCGGCGTAGTAGAGGTCGGAGAGGCCGACGAAGTTGCGAACCTGAAGGGCAAAGAGGAATCAGAATACACGCGCGAGAGTGTCACGGTGTCTGGGACGGCGAGAGGAGTGGCTCCGGCAATGTACCTTGTCGCGGCACCGCCCGCTGACGATCGCCGTCGGGAAGGTCTTGGCGACTTCGCGCACCGCCGCCCTCATCTGCGCACGCGCGCGCACCGCCATGGAAAGAGAGCGTCATCAGCAAAAGAGAAGAGATGGGAGAGGTGGCCGGAACAGATCGCGGCACGATGCATGGATTGGTGGCTCACCGCGTCGCTCATGTAGGCCGTGTCGGGGTCGGCGACGATGGGAGAGAGCGTGCCGTCGTAGTCCATGAACATTACGATCTTCTTCCCCCTGGACTTGGCGGCGATCTCCTCGAACTTGCTAAGCGCCGACGGGTGCTTCCTCTGTTCGAACCACCAAGAAACACAGAGAAAGGTTGAGACACCACTCCAGAAAGGCAATAGCCGGGGGCTGGGCACCGAGCGCGAGAAACGCCGCGAGAAGGAGAGGACAAGCAAGCTAAGGGGAGAGCTAGCTAGCTAGCTACAACACTCACCACCCAGGCGGTGAACTCGTCGACGTCGGAGGCGGAGCGGGACGAGCGGGTGGGGGAGGAGGCGCGCATGGCGTCGGCCCAGCTGGTGCAGCTCGCGGAGCGCGCCGCCACCGCCGCCGCGGCGAGGTCGAGGTACGTCTGCCTCATCGACGCGGCCGCGCTGCGGCACGCGAAGAGGCCGCCCGCCGGGCCGGCCGGTCCTCCCGGCAGCGCCGCGCCTGCCGCGATGCCCATCTCAGAAACCACCACGTCCTGGTTCGTCATGATCACACACCACAAACACAAAGCCAAGCACTCGTCGAGACGAACAGCCTCAAGGGAGGAGGAGGAGGAGGAGACAGGGAGTGAGTGTGTGTGCTCGCTTCTCCGAGAGTTTGAGAGGTGGGTGGAGGCGGAGTGGGAGAGGACGGGGTACTTATAGCTGCGAGGAGTGGGCCCAGCGATAGGGCACGTGGGGGGCCGCCACGTGGATCCCATGTCACCATATGTGGATTCTACGTGTGTGAGGGGGCTCGCCTGCTTAGCTGGTAGGCCGCGGCGGGGGCATCCCCTGCCGTATCGTTTGTTTTCTAGCCCAGTGTAAAGCGTAGGCCGAGTTCATGAGTCCACCCGCGCGAGCCGCGAGGCGCGAGCTAGGGTTGCACTGCTATTCGCTAGCCAATGGCGAAGATGGAGGTGGGGGAGAGGGGGGAGGCCTTGTCGTTGGGCCAAAAGAGGCAATGTGGAGCCCCGGTGCCAAATCTGTGAAGTGTACGCCTACACAAACTGAAGGATCTGTGAGCATGTTGTATCATTGGCACCGACTGTAGCCCCATTTGTGAAGAAGTACGCACGCATGAGTGGTGAAGCCAACTAACCAAGAGGTGTAAAATTTAAACGGGAAATCCAAGCCTAAAAGCGCTAACTGAGTAAAATTTAAGTGGCTTCTAGCACATTCATAATTTTCATCGGGCATTCAGTTGCGTAATGGTTTGCCCGTGCTTCTATCCTACAATTGCAATCCTTTTTCCCAAGATGTGTGTTCAAATACCTACACATTTGTCAAGGTCGGTATGTAAAAGGACTGACAAAATTATGATTACAAAGCAAACCGCAAATGAGGATGTGAAGCAAAGTTTTTTTTAACCAAGTTGGTTTGTTGCCAACGTACTTTACATAAAGAAAGGCGTCTCATTTTTTTTAAAAAAAAACAAGGTTAAACCTTAATATGTATATTTAATTATAAAAAATAGACAAAAACTAGATTGTACAAAATTGCAGTAGTATGCCATGTGTAGTTTTATTTCTCTTTAATTGTAATTTTGTTGTTATATATAGTAGCATTGCTTTACTTTATTTTTATTCAGGTATGAGTTTTTTAATTGTAAATTTATTTCATATAATTTTGTACCTTTTATATGTTTAAATATGTTGTTCAACTTGTTATATATAAGGAAAAAGAAACAATCAAAAGCGACTAAAATTTCTTAAACTTTTAATCACCTGAAATCTAGATGGTCAAGTAAGTTTTAGGACATGCACGGATTTGTTGCAATGCTATTTCAATTATACTTAGACAATTAAAATTATGATGAGAATTGATGCATGATTAGTTGGTATCTATACTATTATAAAAGACACCAGTGGTGGTGATGATTATATTTTCTGATATTATACAATAGTCTATTTTTTAATCGAGTGAATATCATATATTCAAATAAGTAAATATGTCTGTGATATATTATTATATATTTTCTTTATCCATAGTATAGTATGGGCATTTTGCTCGTCTTTCGAAAAGAACTAACTAGGAGTAAAGGGTTTCCGCAGGGAAATAATTTATTTCAAAATCTATTTGGCCATGTTATTTTTAGAATTTTCTTTTCAGATTTGTTATTATCACAGATTATTTGCTCTACACTTGTAAAAGGCTTCCACTATATTGTTTAGATCACAATGGTTCTAAGCTATTTATGACGTTTGCTTCTGAAAATATTAATTTATCATGTTAATTAAGTAAACTCCGTATCAATAATTTGTGTAAAATTCAAACCTGAAGAAATACGAAACGCAACATCTTATAACCTCAATATTCCTAAAAATTAAAACCTTAATCTTGACCCCTGGAGGACTGAAACTGCCTTCATATTTTTCCTTATGGACAATATGCTTAGAACCATCATAAAAATCTCCACGATGGCATTTTGCAAATTTTATCTAAATTTTACCACTACATTAACCTTTCCTTTTAAGATATTACCAAGATGGAGCTAATGAATAATTGATGAGTCATCTACTTCGTTAACTAAAAACATGTGATGTGACTATCAGAGCGCCGGCCAAAAGGCCAAAAGGCCAAAAGACCCCACAAGGGCTTAAAATAAGGTATCAAACCAACCACGCTAAGTAAAGATCGAACTGCACATCGACCAAACGTTAAGCGTGAACCTTGAAAGGTTTATGATTGTAAAACTGTAACCTTTTAGGTTAATCGTAAAATTCCAGCTGTGAGCTGAGACAACCTTACTCTAATACCACCTTATGCTACACAATGTCAGTACTGCAGAATGGAACAGTGCTTGGGCACTACCAAGGACACTAAATTCACTGAACCTGGACATCTTTCCAAAAAGAATGGAGAGTGTATCATGCATAGAATTTTGTACAGGGCACTGTAGTTTGGAGTAGTTAATTCTGTTCCGATAATTGATGGCTATCATGAGCAGAACTACTCTTGCATTGCTGTTCTGCTATTCTACCAATAGGACGAAACACAGAGTAGTCCCAGACCTTTTTCTGGTTGTTGGACATTTGGTTTCAAGTCCGTTCGAGAGAAATTAAAGGGCCTCATTTGGTTGCAATTTCTGGACAGTACACCTGAAAAAGTTTTGGCTGTTGATCTTATTTGCGTGCCTCAGCTTCCCCTCATACTAATATTCTTCAGTGTCGTCTGATATTCAAGGTACAGTTTCAGTTTCTCCCACGTTAATTAGCAACTGTCAAATATCTCCGATTTCAAGATGCACGTACTGATTACTGCTGTTCCAGCCAAGTGCTGCAGCAGTACACTAACAAGAAAGATGGTCAACTGAAACAACAATTTTAAAAAACACAAGTTGGGGCATACTAACTTTTCATTGGACAGCATCTCCTCAAGCTTTCTGCTGTAAATTATTTTCTCTGATACGCTTGGTTAAAAGAAGAAACAAAAAAACATTACCAACTATGCCGGTAGTGCTGGCAACAATAACAACCAGAAGATAGAAACCAACTTAAAACAAACTACTTCTACACTACTATATCATATCTCCGTGTGTGCTTAGCTAGCTACCTGCAAACAACACATCGTAGTGAATTGAGTAACGTGTTCATGGGTCGGAAAGATGGGGATAGGTAGGTCGATTTTGCCCAAAATGGTTAGAGATATCATTAAATGATCACTTGATCAGGGATTATGCGCAGTTGAGATGGAAAGAAAATTTATCTGCGCACTTGGCACTTTAAAGCTTAGATTTTCTGGGCCGTCGCTATCGGGATTGTTAGTGCGCGCTAAATGGGAAGAAGAAAGGGGAATAAAAGAAAAGCTAAGAGATGGCAAAACATCGTCGCATAAAAAGATCGAGACCGCTTTCCGCGTCCCTCCTAAGTATGCATCCTTTTCTTCCTCTCTTCCTTTTGCCTTTTTCTTTGTTTGTTTTTGCAAAGTGCCTTTTGTCACTAATAAATCACCTCAAATTGCCGCCTCGTTTCCTTAACAGCCATAACAAATCTATAATGTTTCAGATCAAATAAAGTAGGGAAGAGCAGCAAATTGGACTTGATGTGTCCAAGGTTAAGACAGACCAATATTTTATACAGTTCATAATTACCTACACTATGAGATTACTCCATCTATTATAAGTTATTTTATCATTGTAGCATTCATTTTGTTAAATACTTGTCATTCTCACATTAATTCCAAAACTTTTTTTACTCTAAATTCCAAAGAGTTTTTAGAGGTGATTTTCCTATCCTTCATCAACTCAGTCACACACAATTGTTGATCATAGTTAATAGCTAGTACCTAAGAAGGTAATATATAAATTGTCACATTTCCTTATTTATATTTGAGATTTGTTAGAATAACAAGTGATCTAAAATGAAGGAAGTAGAAAAAAAAACTAGCAAAGTTCACTGTGACCTAGTGCACTCTCTACTGAAACTCCCTTGAATCAACTAATCTTATTTATATTTTCAAATAGAGAAAGTATTAAAAAAATCATTACCCAGCTGCTGATCATCTGACCAAATAGAATTGTTTGATTATTGAAACAGGACAAGTCGAGGGAAGTGGTACAAAATCTCTTTACATTTCCTTGCAAAAAATATATTTTTACATTTGAAAAATTTTGTTGCGCTGGACAACAATGTGGGGTGCACACATGCATGGTCGTCGTAAGCTACAGCCATTGATAGGTCCTCTCCTCGCTCTCGTCATAGCGGTAACGTAGTGTTATATATATATGTCGTGACCCAACGTCACGGATAAGATTGGGGATAGACGGAAAAACACTCTTTTCCCGCCTATCCTAAGAAATAAACCCGAACATCAAAATGCACGCCCTTTGATCAATAGGATTTTTTATATTCCAATATGTCCTGTCTCGCTACAGGTTTTGGCTGCTTTATATAGTTTGTAACTTGTACATATGAGATTACACTTATGCCCTCATTGGGCCTATGTAAAGTTACAATTGTGCCCTTAACATGTTAGCAATTCCAAGGGCAATTTAGTACATCTCGAAGGTTTTTATAGTCTTTTGGTGCCAGCTGGATGGAGTGGTTGAGTGGTCCCCGGAAATCTTCTCGTGGCATCTTTATTGCTCGAACTGTCTTCTCCATGAGAACGAGCCTTTTTCATGGTAGAGAGTCTTCTCCTTGGCAAGTAGTCTTTTCCATCTCGACCATTCGACCACCTTTTCCTGTTCACCTAGTGACTGATAGTTTACCTGTCATTGGCTTAGACAATACTCAAAACAGATCTGGCTTAGTAATAAGAAATTGCTTGAATAGTGTTTCCAACTCGCATAGCATTTTACCATTTTTCTGTTCGAATGGCACTTTTCCACCCGTACACTTAGAATAGAAACTCACTCTTCCTTCTAAGTGTTTCGGGCGGATAAGGAGGGATGGTGGTGACCCCCAGCTACAGCAATATATGCGTGCATAAAGCCATTAAACCATCGTCCACTAGAAAACTAAGGGGGAGAGATGGAGCGAGGAGGAAAAATGGAGGGAGGCACTACCGTGCGGCGGGGCGCAGTGACGAGAGGCCGACGGCGCGGGAGTAATCTCCCCGGCCTCGGGCCGGGGAAGAGGAAGGAGAGGGCGCGCCCGGAGTCCCCTTCCGCGTCCTTGCTC